TTTTGCATGCTTGTGCTGGAGCTGATTAATGTGGGATAGAGTCATGACAGCAGCTCCCCTGTGCTGATGTTGTGTCCATACAACATAAACAGAGCTCACCTGTCAACTGTGCCCACCCCCCTAACCCTGAGGGCTGTAAGTGAGAAAGACAGTTAAAATTCTCTGTCTGTCTGTCTGTGTGGACAGAGACAGAGATTTGGGGTGATATGATCCAGCCACAGTGCGAGGACCTTAGTCGCCCCTCAAACACAGGAAATCCCCTTACTTCTGCTTCACAGGTCTGTTGTGGCCGCATGTCTGTGTGTATATTTCTGCGGCACAGATCCTGTGTGCATGTGCCAGCGTCGGACTGGTTTTTCAGGAAGGGGGGGGGGGGGGGGGGGGGTTACTGTACTGCCGGGCCGAACAACCCATCGACCGACCGCGGCCCTGAGGGACGCACACAAAAAAAGTTAAACAAACACAACCACAGCCTTTTTCTCAGGACACTTCCAGACACTCCTATTGGCTGACCCACATGGCAGCCTTGTTTTTTCATTGGTCCCCTTGCCTCCCCCACTCTGCTCTTCTCTTTGGAGGTTTCACCTCTGAACTGTGACCCCTCTGGGAAAGCAAAAAGATTTCTAAAGGGACCTGGCGAGAGGCGAGGTTCCTCTCTGGAATGTCTTGATTTGGGTCACTCTTCCTATTCCACTACTGTCCTCTCTGACCAGTTTATAGGCCTTTTAGCCTCTCCAGTGAGCGAGAGAATGAAGTCGTGTGTCATGCTGGTGAATGGCAAGCTTGCTTACAGAGTTCAGCTGAACATTCCAGCTGATTCAAAGGTCAGTTCACCCAAAATCCAAGCATGTTTCATTGCTGTGAAGAAACAAAATCCCATTCACCGCCACTGTATTACGGTGGAGGAAGAAATCTGAGAATCTAAATGGCAAGATACTGTAAGAGGTTTACAAAGAAAAAACTTTTTTTTTGTGGTTTTGGTGAACTGACCCTGTGAAGGAGGAGTGTAGAGGGATTTAGTGGCATCTAGTGGTGAGGGTTGCAGATTGCAACCAGCTGAAACTTCTCTTGGTTAGAATTCCTTCAGTGTTCGTTGTGAAATAGGTTTTTACCGGGAGCTGAATTATTCACAGAGGTCTCCTCCTTTTCAAAACAAACAAATCAGTTGATTAAAACTGGAAAAACTTACAAAAACTTACAGCAGCAGGATGTAGGGATAGTGCAAACAGGAAGCATCAGTAGAAAAATTTTAAGTACACAGCAATATATATATCTATATGAGTGTGTGAAATAAACTGCACAAAAACAAAGAGCAGTATGACAAGCAAATGGTATAAAAACAAAGCAATATTTTACGACATTGCTCTGCTCATCGCAGACAGGCCTCTAGCCCAGCACCTGCTAATATGTGCCACCTTTTTTCTCTGATAACTTAAGATCCAAATGGATATAAATATAAATGGCTCATTCTAAGGTACGGAAAACACATCGATTCTTATTTTCAGGTCATTATACATTAAAGGAGACATACTTATATTTTGTCTCTGCTATTGTATCCTCCTAAATCCTAACACTGGAGGTTAAAGAGGAACAGTAAGAGGCACTTCACCTCTTCTTCTCAGTGTGATGATCTATTAGTTGTCGGCCTTGCTGGCCTGTGTTTGGCACCGCTTCCTCCTGGGGGCAGCCAGCAGTTACCGTCTCCGTCTCCTGATTGGCCGTACAGGGCCCGGCGGTGGTTAACTGGCGGGTTGCTTTGCCAGCGGGAGGCTGTGGGCTGGGCCACGCAGCTTGGCCTGATCTCTAATTAGCACTGGCTTGTCAGTTAGTCAGGGTGGATCTGTCTGGGAAATTGCAGTCTTGCACACACAGACACACACAAACCATAGCTGGGAAACACACAGGAAAGCGACAGTGGGATGAGGATTGTCCTTCAGTTTCAGGGGGAGATTGTCTGTGATCATGCGGCTTTGACTTGTGTTGCCGTTTGTCTCTTGTTAGGCTGAAGTGGCTTATTTAGGGCTCGGGGTGTGTTTGTGTGTGTCTTGCTGGGCTCTATTAGTGGCCTTGCTGCAGCAGTGAAGTGGTTAACAGTCCCGGGGGAGGCTCATGTTACCAGCAGCAGGGCAGGTCCTTCCCTCCTCTCTCCCCCTCCAGTTTCTCTCTCAGTTAGTCCAGAGAGAGACGAACAGTGCCCAAGGGATGAAGCATCAGTGCAGCAAGCGACAAAGGAGCTCAATCTAGGAACAGTGCCAGGGCGAGAGGGAGAGGGCGAGAGACACTGAGAAGGCTCAGAGAGGCAGACAGGGAGGGAGTGGGAGACATTTGGCTGTGTGAACTCTCTCAGCGGCATGAAGTCATGAAGCTCTCTGTCCAGCTTGGCATTTTCCCGCAGCGCTCTGGTTCCCACGGCAACACAGGCACCCTAACCAGGTAGATGTGTGTTTGTGTGTGTGTGTGTGTGTGTGTGTGTGTGTATGCGCAAGGGAACTTGTAGTAAATCCAACTGGTTCAATCTGTGTTCAGGAGGTGCTGAGATCTTTATGGGTTTGTAAATGTCTGTTTCGTCATTGCTGTCCACATATCTTTATTTTCTCTCTGCACATTTGTGTGTGTGTGTGTGTGTGTATCTGTGTGTGTGTCTGTGTGTGTGGGACTTTCCCCTGTGGCTGTACGGATGAGCTGAGACAGTTGTGGTCAGTCTAAATCTCTCAGCACCTCTCGGCTCGTCTGCTCCACGGATGCTTTCAACTCTGCCGCTGTTTGATTTATTCTGCCGGTGCCTCCAGAAGGAAGTTATGTTTCCCCCTCTCTGTTTGTCAGGTTGTTAAAAAAAGCTGCAAATGCGTTTGGCTTGAAATCTGCCGGGGACCAGCTGATTAGATTTCAGTGGTAATCTGAGTCTGGGATTTGAGCCATTCAGCAATCTTTGTTTTTGTTTAGTTTTTTCAAAAGCTGTAATTATGATGTTGTGTTCATGTGCTGGTGGGAAACATTCAGGACTTCCAAGTTGGCAGCTGAACAGCTCTGCATTGACTTGCCATCTTGCTCGTCTGAAAATCTAACTTGACAGATGAATGATGAATGAGTGGTGATAAGTGCTGGGTGTTCAACTTCAGTGCTTTTTTTTTATGTCACAGGCATCAAGTATCGGAAGTTGGCATTGGATGCTGGTCGGATGCTTAGACTCACTCTGAGATGTTTTCTACATTTTTAGGAATCTGCTAATTTCAGGCTGTATTTTATTTAGGCAAAGTCTTGTTTGGCAGCTTGTGTTACCACAATATGTAACACTGATCTTTGGACAAGTTTGGTTTATTTTGTCAAGTTAAAAAGTAGAAAAACATGGTCATATTGCTCCAACTACTGCAAGCTGTTGGAAATAGTGTTGTTTGGTATCAATAAACTAAGAATTATATTGGCTATAGCAACGAAGAATTTCAACAATATGCTGACCTACTGGTAACATAATTTATCAAGCAGAAATGTCAAACTTTTTCTGCTTCCAGCTGATAAAATTATCTTTTTATTTTGGACTATTTGTAGCACAGTTGTCTTCAACAATTTGAAGAAATCGTCCTGGGCTCTGAGAACTTGATGGGCATTTTATAGACTAATCTATTTGCAGAAAATAATCAGCAGCTGAATCAATAATGAAAGTAATCCTTAAACTTAAGGTCTGGTTGGTGTGATAGGAGCAGAGGGGGTGTGTGAAGAGGGGTGTGTGTGTGTTATTAGTCATTATTGTTTCACTGCTGTCATACAAAGACTTCCTTGACGGGTTTTTATGTATCATTGGTCTTAAATGACTAACTGAACGGACCCCAGACGACTGTGGAAATACAGATAGTTTGACAACACTGGCTGTGTGTGTGTGTGTGTGTGTGTGTGTGTGTGTGTGTGTGTGTGTGTGTGTGTGTGTGTGTGTGTGTGTTTTTCCTCTGGTGCAGCCAACCCTGCACTAGCCATGACCATCAGCCTCCCTCTGGTCCTTTCAGAGCGATGTTTGCCAACTGGCCGGGCTTCCTGTCCCCCACAGACTCCCAGCGGATGCACGCATGCACAGACACACAGACGCACACACACATATTTACAAATATCCTGCATTAACTCCCAGAGTGTTTGCTCTGTTCAGATGGGTTTGTTTGAACAACTCACAGACACACACAGACACACACACTCGCACAGAAACGCACCCTGTGATGTCACCCCTCCGACAAGCCTTTGTTCGTATGATAGACAACCCCATTCAGCCTGTTGGTGTGTGTGTGTGTGTGTGTGTGTGTGTGTGTGTGTGTGTGTTCTGAAGTCAGTTCAGACGGAGAATAAAGAAAGAGACTCCAGGCAGTCAGAGAAGCCAGATCCATCTTTTTTTTCTTCTTCTTTGCAGTTTTATTTTGGTTTAACACTGGAGTTAATAGATTACGTTTTTCTTCTCTTTTCATACTAAGGCATGTATTTATCAGAAATATTTGCTGTCCTTGTAAAATGAAGTGTACAAAGTATTTTTTAGTTTTAAGTTTAAGGTTTTTATTTTTTTTAAGTTTTTGTATTTGTATTTGTTGTATATGTAGGGACACTCAGTATGCATCCATAAACGCTCTTTAACAACCACACTCACACACCTACAGTAATTATATTGTAAGTGTAGATGTGTATAAATCTATGCTTAACCTAAAATATAACACAGGAAGAAAAGGACAGAAGCATCAACTTCTGTTTCACTTAATTAGCAAAAAACCCCTCACTCTTTCTTCTGGATCTTTGTCTGTAAATGGTTCAGCTGACTGATGCACAGCAGCATTGTGTTCATGGTATAAGAAGCTTCATGTCTCACTGCTAACCGTCTGTTGAGTGTCTCTTCAAAGAGGAACTAAACATGTTACTGAAGAGCCGTCGTGACGCTGTCTGCCAAGAGGACTCCCCCATCCTCTCCACTCTCCTCTCCAGATTGACTGTTTAAAGAGGACTAAAGGGAATCTGTGTGTCTGTGTTTCCAGCTGGGATGACAGCAGCTCTGTGAGCAGTGGCATCAGCGACAACATCGACACAGATGACATCAACACCAGCTCCTCCATCTCCTCCTACGCCAACACGCCCGCTGCACAGCGCAAGGGCCTCAACACACAGGTAAGACTACACATGCAAACACACACATACATCCACATTTATGAAAAATATCAAACTTTTTTATGGTTGTGCTGCAGGCTGGGATAGCCAGTGTCATGTTGGATCTGGTTCAAAGTTGGTTTATCATCTGGATTAATTCAATCCCATTAAATCTTTCATTCTGTCCTCCCTTTTTATTAGAAAAGGGCAATGTACAAACATTTAGACGTGTGTGTAAACCGCAAATATGTAATATACCTCACAAAAGTTGAGTTTTAGCTCTTAAATTACATGGTTGTTAAAAGCCAAGGTTCAATTAAAGAAAGGATTTGTATCAGTAAGCATATTTTATACTGTGTTCAGGTATGATTTGAATTCTGTCACATTCTAGGTGTACATGTGGTCCAGTGTGAAGCTCATGGATTCCTAAATACAAATCAAAGTGCAAAAAAACCACTGAAGTTTTCACCATATACAAAAAGGCACCAAGGCATGTGATGCACGATTTCCATGTCAACAATAGGACCACATGAGGTTCATTTGAAGGCAGCACGAGATTCACATTTGGTCTGTGAAAAAATGAGATCTACAATGCAGGAATTGTCAGTTACCATTTGTAAACACAACATGCAAACTTGGCCCCTCTTCCCTACACTGCTTGTATGTACACTACCGTACTATTGTACGGTAGTGTACGTATTCATTGTAATAAAAAAGCCAGTATTTTAGCGAACAGAGCTAACTGCCGGCACCTACCTGTCTAACAGAAAACACGCCAACTCTGTGTTGCTCTTCATCCCCATCCTCTCCTTCACTGCTCGCCAGCAAAAATGAAAGTAAAAGCCAACCCCAGATTCACTTTTGTCCACTATTTTTAGCAACAGGTTATAAAGTCCTGGCCTCACCTGCGTGCTGTTATTGGCTGGAGGCTACAGACTTCAGGCCAAAGGTTGCAGCCCAGCCTCAGCTAAATAAGAAGATGATACAGGAAGAGGGAAGGGTCTCTGCAGATAAAAACAATGCCACGCACTACTAGTGGATCCAAAGTGATGATTGAAAGGAATTATTTTTGTGTGAGTCTCTACGTTGTTTTCTAGGAAAGTCCTACATAGTATACCCTTAAATAGCATAAACTCCATATGGTATTGTGAAATAATTGGATGAAATGTAAACTTAATGTAAACTGATGCAACCGTTTCTTTCCACTTGGCCTCATTTCTCTAAAGCCAGTCTGTCCCAGCATTCCTCTGCCTTCAGAGAAGAATGTGAGACTACAGCTGTGAACTCACAAAGCCAAAGCTGATGTTGACTCTGGCCTCAAATCATTAAACACTGATTAAGAGCCACTCCCCTTCAGGGAAAGTGATCGGTGAGACGATAATATTGTCAGCTGACTCGCGTGTACGTCACGCTCACGGCGTTGTGGCGTGATGTGGAGCCGACCACCATGTGACGTGTGTCCGTTATGTCTGCAGAGGTCGAGGTGCTGGATGAAAAACAAAGGAGGGCACAAAGGAGCCTTTCTCTCCGTACAGCAGCCCAACACAGTGCAGGTTGATTAAGTCTAGTTTAAATTCTGTGAGCAGAGCAGCTTGCTGCATTTTTGTAGTGTTGCCGTGGCAACCAAAGAACGAACTTAAAAGCAGCCATCACCCCTCAAACAGCTGTAATTTACTGTTGGAAAAATAAAGGCTACGGTAAACTGGCTGAGTTATGCCCCAATTTAGAACAATTAAAACTTCTCAAAAAGTTTTTTCAAGTTCAGCTCTAACTTGCAAACAGAGTGTTTTAGGTTTTGAAAAAAGACAAACGAAGTTGTAAAGCTCAGGATGATCATGAGCAGCAGCTATTTCCACTTTTTATTGTCAACAACAGTCATCACAGACAACCAAAGTGGACTTCTTTGCTGTGAGTGCAGACTAGCATAAGATTTGACTCCTTAAACACACACTTAGAAAGCTGCTTTGAAAGGAACATACTCTAATGTCATCTCATTTTAATGGTCACCATACAAAATCCCAAAAGACCGGCATCTTCTTGACTTGGGATTTTGCTTATGAAGACTTGTTTAAAGACTTAAAACTGATGACAGACTTGAGACATTACTTTAAGTTCAAGGCTCTCTTTCAAAAACATGAGCTGTTCAGCAAAGTGGAAGCAGAGAAAATGCTTCTCTCTCATTTCAACGAAGGAGGAGACGTCTTTCTGCTCTGGCCCTGACGTGGTCAAACAGCTTCCCCACAAACTGCTCAGGTGATGGTGGTGTGGACGCTGGCAGGATCACACAGCATGATGGCTGTGGTCATAAAATGGAGTGCTTTTTAGAGGCACTTGGCAACGTCTAATAAAAGACGCTTTCTTCAGCAGTAATAAATCTGACCTACTGGGTGTATGTGTGTGTGTGTGTGTGTGTGTGTTTTCCCAGCCTGTGACGGATGCAGAGAAGCACTCGGCTTCCACAGCAGTGCACCAGGCCTGGTCAGGAGACGAGGTGAAGAGGCCAGACGGCGGGTCAGACAGTGGGGTCAGGATGGAGCCGGGCTCCAAGTGGAGCCGCCGGAACCCCTCCGACATCTCCGACGAGTCAGACAAGGGCGGCTCAGGGAGGAAGACCCCCTCGGTGTCTCACACAGGCTCTTGGAGGAGAGGCATGAGTACTCAGGTGGGGGTGACGTCCCCCCGGACTAAAAGCACCAGTAGCACAGGCTCCTCGAGCTCCACTGGCCTCAAGACCCACAGTTCAGGTAACAACGACCTCCACCACCAATAACAGAAAAAACAAACAAATAAATAAATGATAGATTACTTATACAACAAATATCAATTGTTACTGAACCATTATTTATCTCCTCACTTCGCTGTTATGTCTCGTTCTGTGTGCTGCAGGTAAAACAGATGACGTCAAGGTGTCAGAAAAGGGTCGTCTCTCTCCTCGTCCTAATGGTCTTCACCGCTCGCCCTCAGATGCAGGACGCAGCAGCGGTGATGAGGCAAAGAAGCAATCGATCCCCACCAGCCGCACATCGACCACAAACGCCCTCACTCACACTGTTTCAGACCCCCACTCCCAGACACACACACTCACCTCACGCACTCCTACCAGCACCTTCGGTTTCAAGAAGCAGGGCCATGGCATGGGAACCATGGTTACTGCCAGTGGTGCAACTATCACAAGTGGCTCAGCCACCCTGGGAAAGATGCCCAAATCTGGGGCTCGCTCACTGGCAGGAGGGTTGAAGGCTGGCGGGCAGGATGGCGGGGTGGCACTGGGTCACCATGACGACAGCTTCCTCCCCATGAGTGCCCGCTCCACGCTGCAGTATCGCAGCCTGCCGAGACCCAGCCGCTCGGGAGCAGCTGCCCGCAACGGAAACCGGTCCTCCACCAGCAGCATCGAGGCTGCTGTACTCTCTGTCACGTCTCACGGGAAAAACTCAATGAGCTTGACCAAGGCCAACGGCTCAGGAGGCGTGATGGCCAACCAGACAGATCGGGAGAAGGGCGTCTCAGAGATAGACAACCTGAGGAGCGGAGTGGTGATGCAGAGTGGAGGAGCAGCGACTGTTCCTTTGACAGGAAGACAGCAGGTTTCTTCACCTACACTGCGGAGGTGAGCACACACACACACACACACGTGCACGCGCGCATGCTCTTGCAGACATAGTGGCGGATAAGTGATGATGAGACATGCTGAGTGGGGTCCTCTTGTATGGGCTTGAATTTACCCACATACAGCCCAAACACACACAGAAGGTCATTTAAAAAGACAGTAATCATGCAGTCACAGTAAATGATAAACAGTGGTGAGTAATGATCACATGTGTGGGCTTGTTGTACACACTGACAGACATACACACACACACACACACAGGCTCAGTGAGGTTATATCAGGCCATTGTGAAAGGCAGGCTTTGAGCCGGGCTGATCAGCTGCCAAGCCTCAGCCTTGGCGGTGCAGGGGGGGGGAGGTTGGAGGGAGAGGGTGTGGTACAGGGTAATGGGCGCTGAGTCTTACCTCAGTGCTCTGCCCTCATTAATGTGAGGGAGTGATAACTCTTCAAAGAGGCTGTGTGCTGCCATTATCGCCCACCGCGGCTCCAGTCATCATAGCCTGCCATTTAGCTCTAACCCAGGATTAGTAGAGAAGCAGGAGAGAGTTTTTTGTCTGTGTGTGTGTGTGTATGGGTCTGTGTGTGTATGTATGGGTCTGTGTGTGTGTGTGTGTGTGTGTGTGTGTGTGTGTGTGTGTTGGCCTTGAGAGCACTGACTCTACCTTTCCTGGCTGCAGATCTTCCACTCTCTTCCTTGGATCATACAGTAAAGAATTATACTGGTGCTTTTGTCTCGCCAGCCTCCGTTAAACTCTTTGATCCAGAACAGTCATGAATATTTTACATGTAATTTGTTGTTTAAATTTCTGTTAATATTCATAACCCCTGGAGGACAAATCCTAATGATTTTTTTTAACCTCATGACCCTTTGTCTTGCAACAGCATCAATTTAAATTTACATTTATACAAAAAAAGATAGCTTAAAGCAACTTTGACACCTTAAAGCAATGTAGCATTATAAAGCATTTAAAGATGTGCAAAATGTGTACATAGATACTAATAAATAATATAACTACATAACACTAGATTCTCCTTTAAGGTCACATTAGACAAACAGGATATGCATCTTTCGCACTGTTAGGACATTAGGAAATGACATCCTTTGATTTATTCCTGCTCTTTTAGCCCCTGGTCTCACCCTTCCTCCCCTCCCTGCTTTTCCACAGGTTGTTTGGTGGGAAGCCCAGTAAACAGGCTCCAGTCACCACGGCTGAAAACATGAAGAACTCCACTGTCATCTCCAACCCCCACGCCACCATGAACCACGTGGGCACGGTGCTGGAGTCCCCCGACGGAGGGCTGGGAGGCGTGGACAGTGAGACCAGCAGCCTCCTGTTTGGCGGCAGGGCACAGGGATTAGGGATGGGGACGCTGGGCAGCGAGCAGGTAAGCAAGAAACAAATAACAGAGATAATTACTCTATCAGTCAGTTTACTCTGTAAATGATGAGTGTGGATAACAAAATCATCCAATATTTGGCTGTAATTCTCCATGGTAACCATACACTCCAAAACTTTGGCATACAGAATATGTCAGGTCCTGGGCTTTTTGATTCATGGGTGTCCAAAGTGATGTATATTTCCTTTTAAAATTACTGATGTAGCCTGGTGTATCTTTAGCACTGTGTAACAGGAGCAGCCACTTATTCATTAGTTTCACTGCTATTTTTAGCTGCACACATTCTCCAACTGCCCACCAAACATTACTTACCATGAAAAGGGGGAAAGTGCATTTTCTTTTCTTTGGAGTTTATTTTGGAGTTGCATTTGAATTCTTTTTTAGCCAGGCTCATGGCGGCAATGTTGGCACGTTGGTCTGTTCACCACTTTGGTCCAGATTCTAACAACCTAACAGATTGCTCGGGGCGTCGGTGGCTTAGTGGTAGAACAGGCGCCCCATGTACAAGGCTGTTGCCGCAGCTGCCCGGGTTCGACTCCAGCCTGTGGCCCTTTGCTGCATGTCTCTCCCTCTCTCTCCCCCCTTCACACTTCACTATCCTATCAGTTAAAGGCAAAAAATGCCCTAAAAAATATCTTAAAAAAAAAAAAAAACCTAACAGATTGCTGTGACATTTTGTACAGACATTTATGTCCTCCGCGGAAAGAATTGTAATAACTTAAAGGGGCAGTGTGTAGGATTTAGTGGCATCTAGCACCCATCCCTTTCCAAGCATTTAGGAGAACCTTTGATTACCTTCGGGTTAATTTGTGCCACCAATTTCAAGCTGCCACTTCAGTGTATAAAAGTGATAGGCCCTCTCTAGAGCCAGTCTTCGATTTGTCCATTCTGGGCTCCAGACTATCACATACTTCTGAATATTGTATTACTTTTCTATCAATAGATCCCACTAAATCCTACACACAGGTCCTTTAAGAGTGATAACAACGTATTCCATTACATTGTGAAAGGGTTCACTCATAGTGATGAACCTTTAGAGTTTTATCACCGGAATCGGTAGCTCTTTGCCCTCGGCTTGATGTAGCTTTATGGTGAGTTTCAGCTTATTGTTTAGCTGTCTGGCCCACAGCTTCACTGTTGTGGTTTACTCTGACTAATGTTAGTGTTTGTAACAACTGCAGGCAGCTGCTTTCAGCCAGAAAACTCTAAAAACCACTGTAAACCACCTGCTCATTAGCAAACAGCAGGCTAACAGTCAGCAACTGGCTGGTGAACATAGTGGAGCATTTAGCAGCTAAAGAGGCAGATAGTAGAGACCAAAAATGGACAGAAACACTCATGACCAATCAGATTTGTCATCATTTAATTTTAGAGCTATCGTCTTTTCCAGACTGGTTTGTGGTCAGCTGTCAAGCCAGAATGTTTGGGATTAAGACTGAAAATAATTATGTACCTTTGAGCTTAGAGATGTTTGTGCGATGACAACGAGGCTTTGGCGGGGACACGAGGATGATTCTGTTCTCACCTGACTGATACCACAAACAAAGTGTTTTCAGTGGAAGTTCAGATGGGTAGTGCAGGAACTTGTTAGACTAACTGTAGGCTACGTATTGCAGCAGAAGTGTAAACATGCTCAGTCATGAACTCACCGTCACCTTCTCACATGATTCATGAGACTTAATCAGACTGTCTCAATCATGAAGTGACTCACTGTGTATTGTTTTTAAGCGGCAGTCATGTCTCAACAGAAAGTATGCATAGGTTCAAAAGTTTAAATGGTTATCTTAAAGCAAATAAACCATTAAATAAACGTGAAAAATGCGTAAGAGAAGCAGAGAAAAGCTGCACATTCAAGAGAATAAATGAATTACTAAAGATATGAAGTGACTAACTGTCACTTTATATCTCAAAGTACACAGACTGTCACTGATTGTTAAAAACAATAACCTCCCCTCCACCCCTCCACAGGCCTCCAGTCCCGGCTCAGTCTACTCCTCCACTGGACCCTCCAATAGCCTGACGTGGGGCACCACCTTCAGCAGCTCCTCCGCCCAGAGTAGAGAGAGCACGCTGGGCGGGCACGGTGGGACAGGCAGCATGGGATACCCCTCCGTCAGCAGCATGCACACCAGCAGCGAGTCCATCGACATGAGTCTGGGCAGCGCCGGCCACGGGACCCACAGGGAGGACACCCTGTCCGCTCTGGGACGTACCGGCAGCGTCAAGACCGGCATGTCTGAGAGGTGAGGAAAGTGGGGAATTTTGGGTGTCCATTTAAAAAAAAAACACCATCAAAATTCAAGTCAGTCATCTGTTCTTGCATCATGCCTTCATCTGTGTGGTATATGAGGTTGTTTTCAGGTTCCTTATGTACACTCAAGTAAGAGTGGGTTAAACTGAGCAAGGATGCATTTTATTGCTGAGTTTGACTTTTCATATGTAAAAGACTGTATGTAACATTTTACTTGTAGGTATCTACATAAGAGTGACATGACACTTTCATAACTATGACATGACACGGTCATGAACTTGTCATGAACATTATGTACATGTCATAAGCGTTTATGACTGCTGTCATTAAGTGTCATGCGGTTTTTGTAATGACAAGTTGACATTGTTTGGGTTGTCTTGATTATGATAACTTGACATTAATCAAAGTGACATTACCAGAAGTTGTCTTTGTCATGACAAGTTGATATTAGATTTCTTTGGGATGTCCTTATTATGACAACTTGACATTAACCAGGATGACATTACCAGAAGATGTCTTTGTCATGACAAGTTGACATCAACAAGAAATGTACCTCTTTTTGTGTTTATGACAAGTTGACATAATTATTATTATTGTTATGACAAAGACATCTTCTGGTAATGTCAGGTTGTCATAATAAGGACATCCCAACAAATTTAATGTCAACTTGTCATGACAAAGACAACCTTTGGTAATGTCACTTTGATTAATGTCAAGTTGTCATAATCAAGACAGCCCAAACAATGTCAACTTGTCATTACAAAAACCAAATGACACTTCATGACAGCAGTCATAAATGTTTATGACATGTACAACATGTTTATGTCAGTGTCATGTCATAGTTATGACAGTGTCATGTCACCCTTATGTAGATACCTTCAAATAAAGTGTTACTGAAGTTTCTTTGGTACTTCTAATTAATGTTATTTCAGAGGTAACTACTTTTATGTAGTTAAAATAAGCTTCACTTCAACCGGTTAAAACAGCTGAAATACTGCTTGCACATTTATGTATCTGTAATAATAATCCAGGAGAAGAATGTATAATATAATTGTTTGAAAGGGGTTCATCTGCATAATACTTCAATTTTTTATTCTACATTTTAGTAAAATTCTTATTGCAGGGTTTTTTTTTTGAAGTACAGGTTTCTTTTAACTTCTTGACATCAATACTGTCACTTAAAGGAAGACATCACCCACAAAATGACCATTTGTCATTTGTCATGCTGTGTTACCTTGAATTTATGAAGTTCATGTCTCCATGGAAAACAGAGAACATATTGATCGGTTGAGGACCATCTTTAACAACAGTAAAACTAAACAGAAACATCAGTTTACAAATTCTTCCACGATTAAACACTGAGCTGATGTGAAACGTATCTTTGAAACATGCGAGAAAAACAAAGTTTTATTCATGAATTCAAGGTAACACGTCATGACTGACTGATGTGCAAACGATCATCTTGTGGGTGAAGTATTCCTTTAAGGGTTTAAATACTTTTTATCTCTGAAATCGTCCCCAATACTGACATTAACTCCTTTTAAAAAATCCAGAATCGCGATGATGCAGCAAGCATCTGTCGTGGCGAGGTGTCGCTCCTTGTTTGCCATTCTGTCCACGCTCGAGCAGAGAAACAAAATCCCATGGCATCCTCAGTCGATTACACAGTAATTGTGGTCATTGTAGGGGATTCCATGCTGACAGGTTGACTGTGTAATGTGACAGGAATGTCTCGGAGGAAACTTAATAGCATCTGGAGTTGAAGCTTTGAGGCTATGACATCACCCTCCTCACTGAGTTTCCTTATTAACGTCTCTGGTGAAGAATCTCGCAGTTGAGCTCTGTTCTGAAGGATTTACTTCATTCTCTAAAACTTTCTTTCTCTGTGTCTGTTGTGCATTCTTCCTTCCTGTCCTCAACCAGTCCCCTCTCCTCCCCCTCCGCTAGCCCTATATTCAGCCGAAACACGCTGCCTCGGAAGCAGGACAGGTAAATGTACCTGTGTGCGGTGTTAGGCTTCTGGTGAGACAGCTGTGGAGGTTCCTACTGAACCACCACCTGCTGCCACACCGAGAGCATCACAGAGAGGAGCTGTGTGTGTGTGGTAGCTTGTTGTGTTCGATGGTGTATGTGTGGAGGTGTCTCGCTCTGTGTGGCAGTTTGTGGTTATTTTTAGGACCTCTAGCTCCTGTATGAATGGGAACTTGTGAGACTGTAAACATGAGGTTGTCTGTGTGGATGTTGGCAGCTTCACTGTTTTTGTTTAGTGGTCCGTGTTCACATACTGCCACCTTGTGGTAGAATTTGTATGTGCAGATTTATCCAGCAGCATGAGCTTAGGATGCTTATCATTGATTTTACACTGCAAAAATCTCAGTCTTAAGCCATGATTTACCATCTCTGAGCCCTTAGAGTCTTTAATTAAGCAAGAATTTAAATATTCAGCCACGATGAGATGACTGAAACTGTTTGAAGAATTTTCTGTAATCAAGTGTGATCTTATCCCAGTGATGGGATCTGCCTCTTTTAAGAAAATTATTGCAATGATTTGAAAGAGGAGTCTTTTCAGTTGTCTTAATAAAAGAGTGAAAGTCAAAACTTAGGGTGCTTTCACACTGGTAGTTTGGTTGGTCCAAACCAGTGGAAAAAATGACTCATTGCATTTTAGGTCTAGTCTTGTTCCTGTTCCTCTTTGCTTTTTATCAATCACTCACCACCAAGAAACACAATAAAAAACACCAATGCACAGAGTCCAACTCAAGGTTGCTTCCCATGATGATTATGTACCACAGCCTCACATTGATAAGACACTCACTCGAAGGACAATGTATGGTGTGCAATGTGTGTTGAATGCGCCTACTCGCATGGACGGCCACAGTGTTAATAGGCAGCGTTGTGATAGTTAGATGCAAATTATTGGAAACTGTTTTGCGTAAATAAACATGCATGTTTAAATGCTTTACATTTACATGAACCTAAACATACAGGAAAATATACATTCATACAGTTCACATTCCCAAATCATCCCTGAAATTATACAGACTGACAGGTAACTTGTTCAGTTTTGGCAATTGCCATCCGGTATCCTCAGGACACACATGACGAAATCAGATTCCAGTGACAGATATTTATGCAGCATTTTAATGCTTCTTTTTTCATGCTTTTTATTGTTTCAGTAAGAAAAAATTCTACAGCAACCTAAATCATGACAAGTAGCTATATCTAGATATAATAACAGATAAGATAGTAAGGATATATTTAAAAATAGAGAATAAATACTATGTACATACTGTGTGTATAAAGCCACTGTAAGGCACTTTTACAAAAGAGTTAATGAAACAAACCATATATAAACCATATACAATGCTTCTGATGTATATATTTATGCTCTTATGTGTCACAAAGAGCTCACAGAGAAATCACTGATTGTAAGCATTAATAGTATTATTAGACTGCAAATCGATTGCATGTTACGAATAATGTGTGACGCAGAAAACAGGACAAAAAGAAGGCGTCTTGTACTGTAATGGTGCGAGGCTTATTATTGTGGGATTGCTGTCACACACTTTGTAATGGACTTAATGAAATGATAAATGACATGGAGTCAGATACAATCATAGCGGTTTTAACAGCCTTTCAAACAGGAAAAATACCCTCGTTGACATGCATATGTGTTCCCATGGTTACAAGTATACAATAGCATACATAGCTTAGCTTTTAAAAACATGCTAAAATCACATATGTGCTATCATGAAATCCTGTGGTTGGTTTGTTTTCTTTCACACCACAAACCAACTGCACCAGAATCCGTTTGGAGGCAGACCAATATACACCTTTTCAAGCATTCTCGTTTGGATTGGTGTACAGCTTTCACACCAGACCAGACAAACCATCCCAACTGGGGAAACAGACCTGTGTTTGTTTTAACCAAACCAAACAGGTTAGGTGTGAAAGCACCCTTACTTGGTCAGATAGAGATTTTTTGCAGTGTGTAAGTTGGGATGTACTAGTGTCAATAGGAAAAATGTCTTTGCAGGTTAAAGATAGTATTGGGTAGTTCTTGAGAGATGCAGCCACATGTTTCCTTGCCTCCTTGCCTCCTTTTCTTTCCTCCTCTGAAGTGTTTCTCTCCCACAGCGGGCCACACTGTGGTAGAAACACTCTGCCCAAGAAGGGACTCAGGTACTGACCTCACTTCCTGCTGGACATGTTGCGCTTCCACACACTGGTTCACCAAATTGTGTTCTGTCTTTCTTTTGTTTCTGCGTCTACATTCACTCTCCGAGGCTTGTGCTCACGCTTGATAAAAATGCTTTTGACGTTTTTGTGTTTGGCACTTGGCACGTGTTGTTGTGTTGTGCTTCTGTGACTAGGCATGTCACTTTGTATCACAGCTATCACTGTGTTGTTCTGTAGCTGGCTTGCGTTCAGGGGGGTCGAATTTTCTTTGGCTTCTTTGCTGCTTTTTTCCCCCAGTTTCTGTTGCTCACAGCTGAGAATCAGTCTATGTTCCCGCTGTTGTGATTTGTTTCAGCATCTGATTCATCACGTTAGATCCCAGCTACTAATCTGGCTGCTTGAGAGGATAAAATTCACCTCTCTGATTGTAAAAGTCAGAAAAATCAAAATCATCTTGTCTGTAAAAATCACAGAATCCACACTGCACCTGCTCTGTTTTTTTGTCCTTGCTTCCACTTGAACCTTTTTTTGACTTCCTGTAGGTATGGCCCGTCCCCACAGCTGCGAGGTCACGAGGAGGCCCGTGATTGGCTGCGCTCCCACTCCACCAGCGGGCTGCAGGAATCAGCCAGTAACTCCCCGTTCTCCCCCAGCTCCAGCCTCACCTCCCCCTCTGGCACTCGCTTCAACTTTGGACAGCTCGGTATGCCCCACACACACACACACACACACACACACACACACACACACACACACACACACACACACACACACACACACACACACACACCACCATAACCCAGTACTCCACGTGTGTTTACTTTAATCACTAGTTTGTTTGTTCTCTGTTGGTTGAGACCAAAACGATTTCCAAATTCAGTGCATAAACTCAAACCACATTGCCATAAAGCTGTGGACAATTAGGAGGTTGCAGTTTTTCAAGTGAGTGAAACTTTGATTTAGCTTCTGTTCAATACGTTTAGCTCTACTTATCTCATGTGATTTATCAGTGGACAAACATAAAATTGATTAATTAATCATTTAAGATGTTAATCAAGCAAAAATTGCCAAACATCTTCTGGATTTATCTTCTCAGAAGTAAAAAGTTGCTGCTTCTCAGTATTCAAATATGATCAAAATATTGTTAAAAATATAAATAAATGATGATCATGAGCACATTTAACTAACACTAATGTCTTAATTACATTGTATTTGTCAGATAGCTCCCCAAAGTGTTAATCATTTATGTTGCTGTACTTGCTTGTGATAACTAATAGAGCAGGAAATGAGTTTTCAGATTTAAACTTTTCTCAGGGGCCTAGTCTGTTGGCACATGTGGTCTCCCAGTGTTAACTCCATGGCCTTGCACAGTTGGAATCAGTAATCTGAGGGTGTTGCCTTGCACTCTGGGAAATTCAAATGATCCCCAGTTTTCTGACATTTTATACACTAACATTAAATCCAAAAATGTATTAATAATGGGTAAAAAACCTTACTTAATTTCACATATCATTTTTCACAGCGTCCAGCCCGACCTCAGCAGCTCAGATCAACCTCGCTGGCATGCGCAACAACAGCCTGACCAATCAGGACGTCTCCTTTGACCCTTGCAGTGACAACCGATTAAGAAACTCCTGCATGTCTCTTGACGAGAAGACTCGCACCATGAGCAGATCTGGCTCCTTCAGGGACGGCTTCGAGGAAGGTAGGAGTAGACAAGGGGAGGATGGATGGATACAGACATGTATACTGAATATTCAGTGTCTCTGTGTGAGTCCTGGCCCCGGTCTTTACATGTTTGGTGTAATCTGTAATTACAGAGTAATCCTTTTCCAAAGACCTGCACGCCCCCATCTCTCTGTGACTCTGAAGCCTCTCCTTCCTTATTCCACATCCCCGTGCCAAAAGAATTATTATTCCGTTTGTTTAGAGAACATTAGGACGGATTACAACCGCTCCTCGAAGAAAAGCCCTCCATCCCCTTAGAAATCCATAAGCAGCTTTGGTGCAGCTTTGTTTTTTCATAAGCTTGTTTATTGGGAAAAGTACCCAGGCGTGCTTTTCCCACCAGCAGGCAGACTCCCCGCTCGGGCGAGGTTGCTCCGCTGGAGTCTGCTCAATCCTCAGGGCCATAGAAACACACCGCGTTGAATAAGAGGAGCAAACTAGGACTGGGAGTGAGGTGGGCGTAGTCATGTGTTGAAAATGGCTCTCTTAATGAGATAATCACACTGAAATAATATTAAATAGCTGCAGCTGGTAGCTAACTCACATTTTAGTGAACCGCAATATAAACAGTAAACCACAAAATAAAGCAGCGTCAAGATATTCCTCGCAAGGCTCAATTTTTCATGATGACAAAAACTGTCATCAACAGGTAAATCAAAAAAGTTTACGCTCCTTCTTTTGAGGTTTTCAGAAGGTATTCTGGGAAATGTTGTTAATCAGTAACTGAAGTAAAATTTCACAGATGACCATCACAGACTGACAGTGTGAGGTAGGGTGTCAATGGTATGAGATTTTCGAGGTACGATGAAGTGAAGTGTTTGGGGGGTTGTGCAAGTTTGTGTAAAATGTCTGACAGGCAGTCGAGGAGGAGGAAGGAAATGTACACATGCAGGTGGGATTCGCTGTTAAGCTGCATTTCTTTTCAATACCATAGATGAGCAAATATACATGGTATAATAACTGTTAATTTTATTACCATAGTATACCGTGTAACTGTTATTACGGCTGCATGTTATGCGGTTCATTATTTGGACAGATATTATGATTGATATGAGTCACAATTTTAGTGGGAGAGTGAAGGGGAGACGAATGAACACACAGGAAAGAGCAACATGAGCAAATCCAGTGACACAGAAACTGGTTTTGTAAATGTGCCTCTGGGGAATCAGTTGTGTGTTCTGTGAGAAACCTGGTAAATCTAGACTCCAGCTTGAAAATTAGTTTTCTCCATCAGATTCTGATGAAACAAACTTTCAGAAACCATTCCACTTGTACAAAGTTCTGTACACCGTTCCTTATAACTGAGAATGACCTTCACAATCAACAAATCCAAATTATATTTTTACAAATAAGAAAGTCATCTACAGTAGATTCTTATCTTCGAATTAAGCAATAAATGTGATGCAATGATCACGTGAGTCACCCCCTCTTTTAATACCTGAAGCACTTCAACAGGTAGCTTAGACAATGTGTGATGTTGCAATTGCATGAACTTTGTGATGTTAAATTTATTTGGAAACTGATTCAAGTTGTTTTTCGAGTGTTACAATTAGAAGCAAAGACCAGTGATATAAACAGTTTGTAGAGTTTCGTTTAGTTGTCTCAGTGAAGCAGACAGCTGCCACTCATCTATTGTACAGCCGACCTTAAAAGACGTGCCTGAGCTTTTCCCCTTATTGTGAAGCGATACACAAACACACAGGTAGCACTCATGTAATATGCACATGCACAATAAGACAGACACAAACGTATTATTATTGCGCCCCCCAGTAGCACATCTGCCTCTTTTCCCAGCTCCATGAGTCTGCCTTCCCTTTCAAAGGAGGGGATAATTACAGGGATCACATTGAGAGGCGTGAGAGAGACTTGATGACATACATGAAACCTCCGACATAACTTTCTCTCTCTTTGCTTGTGTGTTGGATCGCATTGTGTGTGGGTCGGCGAGGACATGCGGTTTGTGTGTACATGTGTATGTCGCTGAGGTGTAGAGTTACCCGACTGTTGTTGGATTGACAGGACAAAAGTCACATCATCCACCCAACACTTTGTCAGACCTGTCCTGTGTGAGAGCGACACCACAACGTAGTGTCACTTCACCCCCTCCACCCAGACTCTCCCACTCACCTCAATATCTGCTCTACTTCTCTTTATGTCTGTAGAAACCAATATCTTCCAAAACAACTTATCAACAGGTTTCTTCTTATCCCTTGGAAACAGATGTTCAGAAACTGATATTAATGTTTTTTTTACATTAGAAATTACCTCCATCCTTCTGTTCCCATTTATTGTTATGAGACAGTTGTGTGCAATATGTCACAATATCTGTGTAACTGTTGAGAGAAACTAATATGTACATTTTCTTTTGTTTTTTACAAATCAATCATGAACATTTGTCATGCAGAATTTTTAATGTATTAAAATGTTGTCAAATAGAGTTTAAGCAGTGGTGGAAGAAGTACTCAGATTGATTGCGTAAAAGTACAAGTCCTGAAGTCAGTATTTTACATTACGCACATTTGTTTTACTTAAAGTGCAAGTAAAAGTACTCATTATACAGAATAGTTCCTCACAGTGTTAAATTATATTATAATAGTCAGGTTTTACCTCTAACAAACATGTGTCTGAATGATTTAATATTGTGGTGGAGCCAGTTTTTGTGTACTACTGCGTAGATAAGTACTGCACCACATCATGCAAGTATATCATATGTTTTTATATGTAAAAAGTAACTATGAGTGTTAAATAAATGTAGTGGGGTGAAAATATAAGTTGCAGTAGAGGTGAAGTATAAAGTACCATTTACTAGAAATACTTGAGTAAAGTACAAGTATCTTTAAACTCAATGCAAACTGCAATATATACACATGTACCATCAATAAAATGCAGATGACACTGTCATTTACATGCATGCTCCCTCCATTGTGCAGGCGGTGCAAGAGCCTCAGACTGCATTTCATTCATTACAAACTGCCCTGCTAAATTAATTTTAATTTAATGATGGAGACATGTGCTCATTTTTCTTGAGAGGCCACTATGTTTGAATCATGGATTTTTGCATTATAAGTTGTATTTGTTGCATTTTAAATGTGTTTTGTTTGGCTGCTACCTCGGCCAGGTCTCTCTTGTGAAAGACATTTTCAAGCTCAGTGGAACTTCTTGGTTAAATAAAGGTTAAATAAAATAAATGAATAAATAAAATGTCAAACAGCACAATTTGGCAAAATGATGAAGACCCAGAAATCAGAAAAATGTACCCACTAAATCAACACCAGTGTTAACAGATGACTCCAAAAAACAGAACTCATGTGTGATGGAAACAAACACTGAAAGGCCAGTTTGGCACCAGTGAGTTGATAATGTCTCACAAAATCACAGAAGAACAGATCACAAAATTAAAATACCATCATGACTACAGTCCACTCCACACAGGAAGAAATGAATTATCTGCAGGTTGTTTTCTTTATCAGTCAGATGACTGTTTTGTCTAGAAATTTTTTGAGAGTGCCAATTATAATCAGGGCTGTGGCTGCCCATTCAGGTACCACTAGCATAACTGTTTTGTGGTGCTTTCCGTGGTCTATTGTTGTAGCAATCCACAGAATGAAGACAGAACTGATGCATATCATATTGCATATAACAGTCAAATGGTGCCTATTGTAGTTGTGCTTCATCTTAGATTTAAAATAGTTCGTCATTAGGATTATGATTAATGATCAGTGGCTGTAATGGTACCTCCTCCAGCACTTGATGCCCTGCACAGAGTGCATGATACACATGCAAGTAGCAGCAGTTCTGGTTGAAATATCCTGCAGCCCAAAGTGATGTCTTGAAATGTCTTTTTTTTTAAATTGAACCAACAACCTAAAACATGCTGTTTACTGCTATATATGACAGCGGCAATCATCTCACTGGGGAAGCTGAATCCAGAGAATTTCACATATCAAAATAGGTGCAACAGTTGATGTTTTGTCAGTCAATGAGTGAACTAATTGTCATTGCTCTTATGAATCCAGGTCCTAAAATGTACAGGTACGCATTAAAACCACAGCAGTAAATCTAAATTAATATTCTCCTTCTCATGTGGCTCCCCTGCACACCTTGCTGTCTAGACCAAATTAAGATAAAAGTGAGTCCTCAGTAAACCAGTGTCTGCTCCATCTGCGAGGCGGATGACTGAATGAATGTTCCGGAATCAGCCCAACCTCACTGTGTGGTTGATGACATCACTGCTGCTGATCCTTTCTGATCTGCTCCCAGGCAGGAAACAGTACTGGCGTTGTGTCCCGGCCTCTGATGTGTGATTAGTGGCTGAGTCATTAGCAGAGTAATGCTCAGGCTGTCATTAGTTGCGCCACAGTCCAACTGTAACGTGTAGGAGTTTTTATCTTTATGGCCGCAGAGCTGCACTCATTTTGCTTGGGAGGAGGCGGGAAGGAGAGTTGGGGCGGGCGGGAGCAACTGGGAAAACTGGGCGGAACAGTGCTGGGTGGGCAGGGTTGGAGCGGAGTGGGTGGTGTGTGCGGGGGGTCTGTTCATAATCATGGTACTGTTGTGTGTACAGATGTACTTTCTAATCCCCACTTTTGCTTGTGGTTTTTGTCTCTTCAGTTCACGGATCATCCTTGTCTCTGGTCTCCAGCACCTCTTCCATTTACTCCACGGTGAGTACACAAAACCTCAAAGACTTCATCAGGAATGGTGTTAAGTGCATTCTTTTTGAATCCCTGAACCTCCAATACTGATGCAGTGTAGAAGCAATGGGGTTTTGGGTTGTTGTTGTTTTTTTAATTGCATTACCTTTCGGGTCCTTTTTTCACCACTAAATACATAGTTTGTTCATTAAAGAGCACTTATGGCTTAATTTTTCACCTGGAAAATATCTCGTTCAGGACATAACTTGGTCAAAACCCTTGAGTTACCAAATTTAAGGGATCAAATATGTTAACCCTAACCCTTAGGACACATACCACATAATCGCAATGTCCCTTGCTGCATGTCAATAGATGGATTACTGAACAGGCCTACTGGGCACAGATCCAAGTGTCAGGACCTGGCTTTTGCTTGCAAAATGTCACTCACATTAACATGTACCAACCATGAAGAAACTGAAAATGGCCACAACAAGACCATAAAGAGACGCAAAGAAACTGCAAAGAGACACAAAACAGCCAGACGTAGACATAAAGTGCCTACAAAGTGACACAAGACGACCGTAAAAGGACACAGAATTACCTCAGAGGGACAGAAAATTGACACAGTAAGACACACCATCACCTCAGAGAGACCCAAATGACTACAAAAAGACAGAAAACAACGACAAAGCAACACAAGACGATCTAAAAGGACACAAAATTACCACAAAGAGACACAAAATTACCACAAGAAGACACACCATCACCTCAGAGAGACCAAAGTGACTACAAAAAGATAGAAAACAACCACAAAGAGACACAAAACTTTCAGAGGGAGACACAAAATTACCTCAGTAAGACACAGCATTACCTCAGAGAGACGAATGACTAAAAAAGGAAGAAAACAACCACAAAGTCTTTGTGTGTGTTGCTTGTAGTAGAGATGGTGGGGCCCTTTGCACATCTGTGCCCAGGGGCCCATTGTCTCATAATCCACCCATGTGCATATCATAGTCTTGTTTCCTGTCTTCATTTCCGTTGTATGAGTAAGTATGAAATTAATCAATAACACAACACCACCAGCAGTCATTTCCCATATCTAGTAAAGCATCAGTATGAGCTCTGTTCTTCAACCCTGAGATAAAATAAGGGTAAGTAACAAGCTCTGTATGATTATTACATAATCTCATTGTAGGAAATCTCTGCAAGCAGCAAGTATATCAGTCCAGATAGCTCCACAGTCTATGTGGAAACCAGAGCAACTGGTTTCTGCTTTTGCCTATGGAATTATGAAATATTGAGTATTTGAGTTTTTCAGAACATGCTGTTACACATTCACCCTCTAATCCATTCACATATCTGACTCAAACACCCTGAGAGAAAAAGGTCTGGCTGTAATCACGTAGACAACATTGGGACAGCCCACATGCACACGCAGTAGCCAATCAGAGTCTTGTCTGTAAAGCATAGCTCCTCCTCCCTGTGTGGGCTTGTGTACTCACCTGGGCAGGTGTAGCAGTGTAGACACTGGATCTGTGCTCGGACACTGGCTGGTCCTTTGAGCAGGAGAGTCTCAGGTTTGAAATCAGAGGGGGGGAAGGAGTGGAGGCAAAGATGATGGCGACTTTATCCATGACGGGCACCGTCACGTCCTGGCAGCTAACGGTAGGGATGATAAGGGGTGCAGGAGTACTTCATTCTGCTTTTTCTTTTTCTTTTTTTTTTTTTTTTTTTTTTGCTCTATTGGAGTTAGATGCAGCTGTAAGTCAAATATATAACAACATAGAATATATAATCACAGATATGTTTTCTTTTTTTAATCAGTAAAACTGACGTGTCTGACTGAGTGTGACATTAGATGCTTCTTACCTGAAAAAAATCTTATCTGGATGTTTGCAAATTCCACAACATCACCACGAAGACCTATTTTGTTTTTCACTCTAGCTTTGATTTTCCTCAGATAACGTTTTTCCTGTTCAATTTATTTATTTATTTTTTTTGCTTGCATGTTATCACTTTGCCTTACTGCCGCAATGTTGATAGCTCATGGGATTGTTTTTGTTTGTGAAGTTCTGGTCCAGGATTTTACATCATGGTGAGATCTCTTGTGTTTTGTCTGCGTCTCCAAGACACACAGGCTGCTCTGTTTGTGTATCTAGGATCGACTGGTCCTGTGTGCGTGATTGACAGCTCTGTTTGGGTGTGTAGACCATGTGTGGATAGATGCCACTTTGTAAACCATGCACTCATGCCGCAGAACACATGTGCTATACATGCACAGACACATAAGGCTGTTGAAACCTGTTCTAGTGCTTTGTGGTTGGGAGGTGGAACCACATGAAAAATCGTTAATTATCAGATGTGCGCCTTTGCTTATGTCACAACACAAGCGCTGTGTTCAGGCCTCCCACAGGTTTTAAAGATACTGATTGTGGATTAGACAAAAAACAAGCTGTTATTAAAGAAAAGCACTCAGAGAACAAATACTGTAACTCCACCAAGACTGCACGAATAATTAGGATATGTCAAGAAACTTTTAACCTGCATCACAGTCCATCTAGTGATCGAATATCGTATCGTATCGGGTTAATTATGAAGCAAACGCAGAAGTTCATAGTGAAAATGTTATAAAAAGAACAAAAGAATCCTGTGAATGCACCAAAATCTTGTTCTTTGTCTCATAACCTAACTTTTGTCCAATTTTGGTTGAAATCATTTTCAAAATTTGGGAAATAATTGTATTAAAATAAACAAGCAGGACTAAGAAAATAAACTTTGGAGAGTGTAACACAGCTTCAACGAATGGATAGCCTTAAAGGTAATTAATTATTGAAAAATAATAATCAAATCTATCATTTTTTACATGATAATAACTTCTTTCAAACTATTTTGATGACAGGTTTTTGTTGACAACAATCATAGTGTTGTTTTTGATATTACCACTGGATGGCACTAAAGTAAAGTGGAAATAGACAAGTTTTTTTTTGTTTAAACTTATAATAAAGTAGCTGTTGACTGCAGAATGTAATGGCTATATAATAATAACACCAGCCCCGTTTAGATGTGTTCCCTATGAGCCTTGTTTTCACTATGCAGTTCCGCCCAATTTACAGCACAGAGGAGGTGCTTCAACCATTGTGTGACCAAAACAAGGAGGTTATGCTCTGGTCTGCGATTTCTGAAAGGCTCAACAGCTGGCGCACTATCATAGAACAAAATGGGGATGATTGATCCGTTTCACTATGTCGTTCACAGTCGGCCTCGGGTCGGAATATATTTTACACGAAAAATTAAGATAAGGGTGAGAATTATAAGTCTGCAATAATTGGGAACGTCCTTAATAACAGACCATGAACAAATGCATTCTGTGAATGAATAACCTGTTTATGATCAAGTTTATAGAGTAGCCTATTTTGTTTATGTGTGCGTTAACATGGACATGAATAACCTGTTTATGATCAGGTTTTGGGAGTATGTTGTTTACGTGTTTAGCATGTAAACACCATATCTTGTTTATGAGAAATGTGAATATGCTAGCTGGAGCACTCCAAAGAAACCAGGATGAATATGAGGAATATGAATATCCTATTTTCTCGGTGCTCATGTAAACACCATATTCTTAATGTGATCATAACCAGGATTATCCTCATAAACGGGTTATTCATGTCCATGTAATCACACTCTGTATGAATATTTTTTATCTATATGTTCTGTTGGCAGCAAATCCAGTCAAGCATACCCAAAAGTTCTGTCAGGCTGAGCCCGCCCACAGAGCACCTGAGTTGACACCATCCCTTTATTTTTAGTGCCGTCTGCTGTAACCCTCCAACACTGCAACTCCAGCTGTAATACCCCACAGCTCCCATGGGGTCAGAGAGCATTTCCCAGCCTTCATTTAATAGCCTTGGACCAAAACAGGAAGAGAATAGTGGTTTTGTTTTCTCCGGAAGCTATCGGTAGCTATCCCCAGTGACCAAAGAATATACTGTAAGATCTTTGCAGTTAAGATCCCAAGTAGCACAAATGGCAGACGTTGGAACAACCAACTGTGGAAGCTCTGGCAAAAGAAAAAGACTCCTGTTGACGGAGGATGCAGGTAGTTGCAATGCAGCTTGGGGAGGCAGTTGAAAAGTGGTTTGTTTCCACTTTAAAAGGTGTTGAACTGACAACAAACAAAGCAAATGAACCAGTTTTGCATGAGGAAATTTCACTGCCACTTACTATGAACTTGGTGTAAAAGCAGCTCCTGTCAGGTTAACTGTAAAAAACATGTCCAGATGCAGTGTCAGTGCACCGTGCAGCTTGTTTACATGTAAATGTGGGTGTTGCATGTCTCACTGTTTTGGTGAACGGCAGCAGCAGAGGGTTGTGTTGTGTTCGTGTGAGCGTTTGTTTTGCCTGCTCTCTCTCTCTATACGCATTTGGCTACCGGTCTTTTCTTACTATTGTTCTGTGTGCAGCCTATAGAGACAATGGGATTCTCCCTCACACACACATACACACACACACACAGATGAGTGAAATGCCTTCAGGAGGATATCTCTGCTTTCCAGACATATTACACCCGACAATCTCCTCCACAGTTTATACAGCTTGTCTCCATGGAGCTAATAAATCAAGCAGGAGTCAGGACATGTGCATCGCGCACAGTCTGACCTCCGGCAGCTTCAACTCCTTCTTTCTCATTATAGCATGTCACATTTCAGTCAGTACGTCCTCTAATGATTTTCTCTTCTTCTGATGTTTGTTTTTACAGAATGAGGAGAAGTCTCAGTCAGAGGTAAGCATCGACCCGCCCACACCACTTGTATCCTGTGTGTTTTCAGCTCTTTAATTTTCTATGTGCAGTGGTTGGACTTGTTGAAACACGGGGGCGTTTTCGCAGTTATATCTAGTTACACATGTATCTGTATTGTGACTGACCCTGTAACAGGCTCTTGTTCCTCTCTGAACACCTGTGTACACCTGTATGTGCTCTTTTATGCATCCTCTGTGTTTCATCTCTTGACCTGAACGTATCAGAGCTCCGATCTTGGAGACTCCCTCATTTGTTGCCACAGTTTTTTGTTTTTTTTTTCATTTTGTGCTTGGATGCGTTTGTATGTGTGTGTTTAGCAATGCGTGCCGTTATGGAGCAGGCACGTATGCTTTTGTCTTGGTCCTTTTTGATGTCGTGCTTCTTTTGCGTCTGCAGATCCGCAAGCTGCGTCGGGAACTGGATGCCTCCCAGGAAAAGGTTTCCGCCCTGACGACACAGCTGAGTGCCAACGTAAGTGAACAGACAAACACACACTCCTGAACAAACTGTTTTAGACGTGTATACTATTTCCTTCCAGTATTTATCATGCCACAACTTTAATCAATAGTGTGGTCAATACAAAAAAAACTAATTTTGCTGTTATACTGAACAAAGGCTGTGCCCCAAAAAAATTTTTAAATTATTATATATCAATTTATTATTAAGGTATTTATTAAATACCACACAAATAAGCAGTTCCAAGTGTTCTGGGACCAATATTCTAATAGATTCCAATATGTTTTTACTATGTACACTGTTTCAAATAAAATTCTAGACACAGAAAAAACAAGTTACCTTCAATTTGTGTTTGACAATAAATTTAAAACTAGTGTCTTTTTAGATTAAGTATGAAACTGAACAGTCTACTGCCATTATGGCTGCACTATGAGGATATATTTTGGCAAAGTGATGCTTTGAGATAAATACTAACTTCAGCATAATAACATTCTCAAAATTATAATTTTTTTATTAACAGGTAGGGGAAGGGGGGGAAATGATATAGCATAGTATCGCAATATTTTGCGTGGCCATATTGTATCAGTACACAGGCGCCAAGGATCAATCTTTAATTATATGGGGCATTCTACCGATTTTGTGCAAAGTGCTGTCCCTTAACAAAAAAACAACAAAAATGATATAATTGAGTATTCAGACATAGATATTTACAAAGATTATGTTATGACCTATTTATACCCAGGACATTAAATGAAAAAGTGATAAGCTAAATATATACAAAATCACCATTTATAGGGTACTTTCTATTNGGATTAATTTTTAAATTAAGAAACTATGCTAAAAAAATAGTGTCCCTTGTTTTCATGTCACTACCAAAACACAAGAGTTTTAATGCACTGGTTGAGTCTGGATTTTAGCCACACCCCTGAATTTTTGAGAAGGGGGGTAGTACTGCACCCCCGTCCCACATGGCTGCATGGTAAGTCGCTGACTCCCATCATTTTTTAAATAAATGTCTTCCAAAGTCTGAAAATCAGTGTGTAACTTTTAAAACCGTCACTACCGAACACATGTGCTCTTCAATTATGTAAAGCTTTGGGGGGTTTATGCAAAATATTATGTTTTTCTGTGTGAACAACTCTTCAAACATGTGCTTGTTAGCCATGTGACTGCTAGCATTCTTTAGTTATCCTGAAAAATAGCTAGGAATGTCACTACCGAAACAGTCACTACCGAAACCTATGGTAAAGTTTTGGTAGTGACATGATCATTTCGGTAGTGACAAAATGGAATGGTCAGTAGTGAAACCCCATAATTTTGTGGTCCAAAGTCTTGCTCTTCTATGCTCTGCTCTACTCTGCTCTACTCTACTCTACTCTGCTTTACTCTATACTCTACTCTTCTCTACTCTACTCTGCTTTACTCTATTCTGCTCTACCCTACTATACTTTGCTCTGCTCTACTCTACTATACTCTGCTCTACTCTATAATCTACTCGACTCTGCTCTACTCTACTATATTCTACTCTACTATATTCTGCTCTACACTATTCTGCTCTGCTTTGCTCTACTCTACTATACTCTGCTCTGCTATACTCTATACTCTGCTTTACTCTGGTCTACTCTACTCTACTTTACTCTGGGCTACTCTATAATCTACTCTACTCTACTCTTCTCTAATCTGCTCTACTCTATACTCTATTCTGCTCTACTCTGCTCTTCTCTACTCTGCTCTACTCTACTATACTCTGCTCTACTCCACTCTACTATACTCAGCTCTACTCTACTCTACTATGCTCTACTCTGCTCTACTCTACTATACTCTGCTCTGCTTTGCTCTATTTTACTATACTCTTCTCCACTCTACTCTACTATGCTCTGCTCTATTCTGCTCCACTCTGCTCTGCTCTGCTGTGCCCTCTCAAAAATTAAATTGTTTTATTGACCACAAAACATTTGTCTTTGTCTTTGTAATATTCCCACCATAAGGCATACATTTGAGGAAGTATGATGCAGCCTTAGAAACAGAATAATGGTCACTACCGAAACAGTGCAGTCACTACCGAAACACTGGGTGTTTTGTAAAAAATGAAGTATATTGAGTTATCAACTAAAGTATTATGATGCTAATGGGTTACATTTATGTTCTATTTCATCAGTTATTAACTCTGAAATCAATCTGATCAGCGTTATGCATTTTACAAAGAAAGACTGCATCTAGATTTTGAAGAATTCTATAATTTGAACTTCGAAATTTGTTAAAATATTAATTTTTACAGATTTAATTGTGAAAACCTTCAGTAAAAATTTGTAAAAATTTTAATCTTTAGACAAGGGAAGGAACAAGCATAACAGGTTGATATATATTTTTTTGTATAATATAATACTATATGTTTCGGTAGTGACAAATTTTGGGAGAGGAAAAACATTCCAAAACAGTCTGAAAATACAATATAAAAATTTACAGTCATTTTACTAGATATGTGACCTTTACATATGGTACAATATATATAGGGACAAAGTTTTGGAAATAAAACATACAAAATTTCAAAATATTTCCAGCCTGACTTTGCACACATTCGGTAGAATGTCCCATATACATCATTAATTTTTGTACATATTTAATACAACTTTTGGTACTAGAAGAATAAAATCAGTTGCTTTTTTAGTTCACTAGATGGTGCTAATGTTTTTTTCCCGGTGAGATCAGCAGAGGTCACAGTCAGGCCGAAGTTCATCAAAACAAAGATGGAGGCACCTGAGAAAGAAATCAGACACGCGCCGTCGGCGTTTAAATCAAACGTCTGGACTTATTTTGGATTTTTTTAACACAGAAGGAATTAAGGCTTTGGATATAAGACACGCGATTAACAAGCAGTGTCATATGAGAACACACTGGGAATATTTCGACCATGGCGGCTCACCTTTCACGCCAACCATACAGAGATAGCATTAGCCGCTAACGGCTAAGCTAATGCTAAACCCGCTCCGCTGAAAAACCAACCAACAGTGGAGACGCATAGCTTGACTAACCTTAAACTAGCAGGTATGTGACACCGACACAGTCTTACCCAAGCTTTATAGAGAAGTCAGGCATAAAGTTGAGGAATACTTGAGCACAGTAGGAAGGGTAACGATAGCATTAACTCGTGATGCCTAAACATCAAGGTCAGTGGATTGATATGTGACTGTAACGGCACATTGTCTCACTGAGAATTTGGGCCTGCTGCTCTTCAAACTAGAGCAGTACACGGAAGTCACACCTGAGCAACCACTGCAGACCTGCTGCAAAATGTAACACAAGATTGGGGGATTGTGGTTACAGATATAGCTTCTAACATGGGTGTTGCTTTTAAGTTAGCGGGATACATGCATGTAAAGTGTTCTGCTCACCTTTAATCTGGCTTTGCAGAGGATGTTAAATCTGCCATCACTTGAGTTTGTCAGGTGTATGCCGCATTTCGGACAGGTTTTATGACGGTGCTTTTCAGTTTGTCTGCTTGGCATCACATTTTACTGCAATAAAAATTATTAGTCAGATAAACAGACTTTATCTTGTGAGGCAAAACTGATGTTGACAATGTTTTCCTTTGGGGAAATAATTTGTAGTTTGCTTTTGGAAATAAGGTGATAAATCCCAATATATTTTATCACAATACTCAGCATGTTGCAGCATCGCAATGATATCATATTGTGACCTAAGTATCGCGTTAGTTCTCTGGCGATTCCCACCCCTATTGAAAACACACCAAGCAGTGTTAAAATGTGGTTTGCTGCAACAATTGCATTTTTTTGTGTGGCCAGGAGCCCTGTTCATGTGTTTCAGGCAGGCGGAAAGAAAATCTGTGTAACACAAGTCAAAATGTAACATAAGTCACAGGTCTGGCTGCAGGTATTCCATAGCCGCAATGCCCTACAGAGCCAAATGACTGCAGTACTGGGTTGCCGCTGCAGCAGTTCACCACTGCTTGATGTGTTTTCTGCGTTAGAATCAATCAGTCAATCAATTTGCCACATAAAAACCATAAATATGATTTCAGCGAAATGTAGTTTTCATTACCATCAGTTGTATACGCAAAATAGTGTAGTAATAATGAATATATGTTGGTGTTTAAAATTAGGCAAGGTTGTAATTCTTAAGTGCACATTCCAACTATAATGTAATTATTAGCTGTTGAAAGTTAAAATGAAAATCATGTAACTGTATTGATAATTTCAGAAAATAAATGTAATCCATATTCCATGACTTGAAGCAGAATCAACTGTTTGTTTTGGGAAGAGACAGACTCAATTTTAAAGAGCTTTGAAATTTGGCACTCTGTCTCTCTCAAGCACCCAAACATCTCCCAAATGCACGCAAGTACCTTTCCTAATATTCATCAAAAACTGAACAAATAGCTCCCACCGAGCACTGTACTTCCAGAAGGTGTAATTTTACATCTGGCAGAACCATCAGGAAATCTCTTAAAGCGTCTCCAGACACGATCCTTTCTGCCACCCAGCCATCTGTATTGCACAAGTCTCGCCACGCTCAGCCTGTGATCTGCTGTCTGAATCAATGCACGTTGGTGTTTTAACTGTGGATTAGAGATATGGAGGGAAGGCAACGGTGTTAGATTACAGCAGAGAGTCAAGTCTCAGCACACTGCTGAGGGACTGTCGCAGATGTGGATTGAAGATTTACAGCTAATGACGCCTGGATATAAGAAGGCGTGGTGTGAGTGTTGAAAGAAAAACACAGACAGAAAACAGGGGCTGGTAGTGGGGGGGGTCATGAGGTGGGATGTGGTGAGTGAGGGAGGGCCTTCATCTGTTCAAATATTTGATTACACACCACAGACAAATGAGTTGAACACGCCTTTAAGCCCCTGAGGCCGAGAATCTAAGAACATCCTTTGCCGCAAAAAGTCACGACTTGAATCACAAATCAGTCAACGCTTTACTCAGCTCTCACACACGCGTCCTGCAGGCATCTGCATATTATTTATATTGTCTAAAGCCTCATGCAGTATCGTGAAGGATGACCCCGTTCACCTTGTTTGGTGTTTAAACCAGCAAAATCTCCAGCTTCACACTGAAAATTAAGTTTTCAAGTCTTCCAGTGTGCTTATTTGTTGTGCATGAGTTCATTTACAATTTTAATCCTTTATTTTCATATTAATGGGCTTGAGCACAGGACAGTGTGAGGATACTAATAAAAGTGTGCAATCAGTTGCATTTTTGAGGGGCTAAAGGTGCTTTTAAATCACTAAATGTGGCACACTTATCAGAACTGGTGAAAAATGGCTCTGTAGCACCCCCTAAGAAATTTAAAAAAATTAAGGCCCACATTTAGGTTTCACCTGGATGTAGGAAATTTGGTAGGCATATGTAACATCACCATGTGTTCAAAAGAAGTCTCTTGGAGCCATGCCCTAAACCTAACAGGAAGTCAGCCCATTTGAATTTACTGTGCAGTTTTTTACTTTACAGTACCCCCTCCCAGAGATTGAACCTCATCAACTTTAAATTTCAATCCAACCTACCCAGTCTGGAGTCTCATGTTCACTACGTCACTTTATTCTCACACTATAATAGCCAGAAATCTGTCAAATCAAGTTACAATAGAACATAAAAATTACCCAAACTGTAATGAAAGAGGTTTACCCGAAGATGACTTCATGTTGTGTCTTAGCATGAATGACTGGTTCTTGCTCAAGGGACTGTTTTTGGTGAGAATGATGTCACGGTTTGGCTTCAGTGTTGTGTTTGTAGTGTGGGAACCTGTCCAGAGCTGACCTTCAGTAGATACTCATTTATCACAGGCTGTTATTTTTTTTGCATGATTATTTGGATTTGGCTATGTTTTCATTTTGGTACGGAGATTATTTGACTGATGTCATGTTTGGGTTTCAGCCCCAAGGTTGAAGGAGTTGTGTCGACACCTCTCACACTTTATCAGATGCATTAGATTGTTTAGGTTGTTTTTCCCAGCTCAATGTCTCTACTGGTTATCGCAGCTCAGTTAACATGTCTTCATTCCCTCTTAAATCAACTCCCTCAACATTTGTTCAGTCATTAGCAGTCCAGTTAGCCCTCTGCAGTTAGCGCCCATAGCTTTATTGTCAGAATTAACCTCCAGCTGACTCCTTTTCCATGGCGTCCAGCAGCCAGTGGGGGAAACCACTGAGGTGCAACCCAGGCTTAACTCCTCTCAGTATGGATGCATCTTTAGAGGAGGTATATGAGAAAACCTTTTCTCTTCACATAGACTATTGGAGTCTTGTGTTTGTATCTCTGTCTCTTAAAGGGATTGGAGCTGATTAGATTCTAGGACTGGTATTTTGCCATTTTACAGTCTACCCAAAAATTCTGACATGTGAAACTGTCAGAACATTCTGCTTTTCCAGTTTATTTTTGTGACCATTGCACAACTTTGTTTGTTCTGCAGGCTCACCTGGTGGCAGCGTTTGAACAAAGTCTGGGCAACATGACCATCAGACTGAAGAGTCTCACCTTGACAGCAGAGCAGAAGGTGAATGCAGCACCACCTGCTCTATAATAGACTGTGCTGTGCACTAATAAAATTGCACATTCAAAGTCTCTGCATTTGATTCATTGCTTTGACCTACTTGTCATTTTCTCTGTGCAGGACTCTGAGCTGAATGAGTTGAGGAAAACCATCGAGCTGCTGAAGAAGCAGAACGCTGTGGCTCAGGCTGCCATCAATGGAGTCATCAACACACCTGAACTCACACCTAAAGGGGACAGGACAGGTAAACACAAACACTACACTAAGCAGAAACCTTTGAAGGGGCACAGATGACTTTTTTTTAAGTGTATTTGTGCTGACTATAGTAATGCAAAGCAATAGTGTTTTTCCAAAAACTACAAGTCATCAGATTGTACACATGGAATAATTTCTGACGCAATTAATCGGCCAGCAAAATTTGTTATCGTGACAGGCCTTGTGAGCTTCTGACTGTAGGGCACTTTTTGTTGTGTATTCCTCTTGTCAGGGAGGTAAACAGAAAAAAATATTTAAGCCAAATAATGCACTCCACCTATAAAATAACAGGGAGCTAATTTTGAAAATTTCACTCCAAGATTTGAAGCCTGTTTTTCTGCAGTCAAAGGAAAACCTGTGACAAAGTAGACAAGACTGGCTGGTTAATGTTTGATATTTATTGAAAGACATATTTCAGTCATGTACATTTCCTGTCCCTGCTTGTCTCTCCTCAGCCGGCAATAACAGCAGTTCACAACAGCAGCAGCAGAATCAGCAGCCGGACCTGCGCATCAGGAGGCAGCACTCCTCTGACAGCGTCAGCAGTGTCGCCAGCGCAACCAGCCACTCGAGTGTGGGCTCCAACATGGACACTGATGCAAAAAACAAGAAGAAGAACAAGAAGAACTGGGTAAGATGCTGGAAATTGAAATCTGAAGACATGTGATTTCAGTGTGTGTTGAGTCACTAACAAGCAGCCAACCAGGTCTTTGTCTCTTTGTGCATTTTCATGTCTGTGTTGGTGTTACATGTTTGGATTTCTTCCCTTCAGGCATCTTTCACTGGGGAAAAGGTGAATACACCTAGGCTTTTCATAGACTTACTTGATTGATTTGGGGATTTGTAGGTCAAAAAACAGACATGTAGGTTAAAACTGGGCTAAATTTATTTGTATTAGTTGTGTCTTGACCTGCAAATCACCAAGTTAATGTTTACTGACTAGTGTCTAGTCCTAGCATCATCTCATTAGTTGTTTTTCACCAGTGATCATACAGCAAAACATCTTAGATACTTACACACTTTTCCTTTTGGTTGTTGAAAGACTTTTTTGTGCACCGGAGGACAAGTCAAGGAAGATGACGTAGGAAACTATTTTTACTCTCTGTTGTCCCCATAGACTGAAGCGATGTTGTGTTAGCCGCCTGTGGTTCTCTAGAGCTGATCCTGATGTCAAGTGTTAGGATGAGCAGCGTGGTGCTCTGTGGTAGTTGTTAAAAGACGTGAGCTCGTGTAGAGTTTCCTGCTTTAGCTCGCAGTGATAATAAACGACCCTCCTGTATGTGTGCGGATGTGCTTCCAGCTGTTTGTGTAGATGAGACCCCACAGGAGGTTCCTCCATGCAGGCACTCACACAGAGTATGTGCTGTGGAGTGTATAGGGGCAGTGTGTCTGTTTGAAAGTATATAATGGATCATGAAAGACATCCTGTGTCATGGTGGTTGTGATGTAGTGTTAGCTTGCAGCTGCCTGGAGGTCAAATAAACTCAGCCTTAGTCCTGTAAGAGCCTCTAGTTTAATCTCTGTCCCTCCATAACACATTAACACCCCCAAACCCATATGAACATGTGCTGTTTTGTCTCTCTGTCTTCCTTTGCTTCGCTTCATGTGGCAGGTCTATGAGGTAAGGATGGTATGCTGTGTGAAATGAAAGAAACAAAGCTGCCTAACCCCTGCACTTTTTCTAGGTTACTAACCTCCTTTCCTTTTCCTCCTGTCCTCTGCTGCCACCTTAGTGCCTGTCCACTCCTCCCTAACACTGCTTCTCCCTGAAAACTGCTCTTATGACACTTGAGCCAGCTCTTTAAAGGGAAAATCCACCGAAAAATACTTGAACACAGTCAGAAAAGGAGCATTAGTTAATGTAGCTTGTATCTCTGGATCTATGGCCCTTTTTAGAACATCAAGACACACTGTGATCTGATCAAATTGGACTAAGTGTTGCGTGACCATCCCTTGGTGTGTTGAAATCTGCTGACAGTGGTATCTCCAGCTGTACTGACACAATCGTTAACATGACTAGCAAGCACGCTACAGAGCAGCTGGCAAAAGTGCAGACGTTATAACTGTGCGCAGAGCAGTAACAAAATGTGAGTCAACTGGAGATGCATAATAGGCACCGGTGTGAACAGTGATGTGTCTCGGGTGTCCACTTGTGGTCAGATCACCCAAAACACATTAATACCAGGTCTAAATAAGGTCCAAATGTGACGTGACTTAAGGTTGTGATATTTTTATTGTTTGAGTACCAAAATTCACAAATTTTGAAAACTCTACAGAGAACAAAAGATTGTAGAGGAGGCACTAAGACCAATTAATGCAGCACAGCAACAGCTTGCAGAAGCATAATCTCTCAAGACAGATTCTGCAATCTACATTGTAGGAAAGTAAAGGAAGAATTTTTTTTTTTTTAACCGATGGATTTCCAGATTGGCAGAAGCATGACTGTCCTCTGACATGTTCAGCCCAGGGGCCATTAAGTATACACGGTGGATTTCTCCTTCAAACACAAACTCTTGCTAGAACAATATGAGGAAATCAGTTTTTTACGTGGGTTTTACCTAAAAGTTTACATGTAGTTCAAATATGGCTCATCATTTTCGTTTTTTTAGCAAAAATTACAGACATTGTAAAAGGAGCAGAGACAAGTACAACTTAGAAACCTTCTTAGTATTAAAAGGTAAAAAGAAAATGGGGGAAAGTGCTAATTATATTGTTTATTATGCAAGTTTATTTCAGCTACAGAGTGATTGTGGTTTAATTATCATTATAACCATTTTTTGGATGCCTCCACAGAAAACGGCAAGCAGATTGTGTAATCTATCAAAACATGTGTTAAACTCTCACAACTCATGCAGTAAAATCCAAGTCTCAATTATCCAGTCATATGCTCAGTACGTCTCAAACATATGCAATTTTACTAAAGCTTTACTATTTTAAACTGAACTGAAAGTTAAACGTATCTATGCTCTCTTCAAAGCCAGACTACTATACCAAGGATTTTTTAGCGAAAATGTGTTTGGGAAGTACTGAGCAGCATTTGCCTGGATAAATTAGTCTTTTACTTCACAGAGTTGTGTGAGTGTTTGCAAAAATGGTTTTGCTGTTAAATGTGGTCCCCAATCAATCAATCAATATGTTTGTCAATATTTAAAAGTTTTCTTGAAGAAATCAAGTTAACACGGCATGATTGATTTACAAATGGTGATTTTGTGGTTGATTTCTTTAACCACTCCTGATGAAAAAAACAAATACAATTCCAGATTTTTTTAAATAAAAAACAAAAACGATGAGCCATAATTATAAATCCAAAGCTATACACTCCTCACACTCAGTGTTTGCATTAAGAGCTGTAGCTCAAGTGATAAGACAGTCTTCCCACAATTCCCTTTCTCCCTGTGACTCACTTGCACCTTTTCACAGCTGTTTTCCTCCACTTTCCCTGGCACACTCGTCCTCTCCCTCCCAGCCGTGTGTTCATGGACGTGTGTTTCTCACCGGTTCTCTGTTTCCTCTGTTTTCCATCTGCAGCTGAGAAGCTCCTTCAAACAAGCGTTCAGCAAGAAGAAGTCTCCCAAGTCGGCCTCTTCTCACTCTGACATCGAGGAGATGACGGACTCGTCGCTGCCGTCCTCCCCTAAGCTGCCTCACAACGGCACCACTGCCTCCAGCCACATGCTCAGGAACACACACTCCAACTCGCTGTACGTAGACATTGTCTTCTATATGTGATTGTAGGAGTACTGGGATGGAGTTTAACCTATACAAATATATCCAAAAAGTATTAGTGACATTTTTCAAACAGTATAGATGGAAAACTACCAAATTCTGCTAAATCACATCACTAAACTGTGTCGTCCTGCTTGTGTGTGCGCACGTACAGACTGTCTGAGTGTTTGGACAGTGAGGCAGAGACAGTGATGCAGCTACGCAGTGAACTCCGGGAGAAGGAGATGAAACTGACTGATATCCGCCTGGAGGCTCTCAGCTCTGCACATCAGCTGGACCAGCTCCGGGAGGCCATGAACCGCATGCAGGTCTGGAAACACACACACACACACACACACACACACACTTCTATTAGAGAACTTCACATCAAAGGATTAAGTCAGCACTGAATCACAGAGTGCAGAAAGTAATCTGTCACCTCTGGCCACAACCCGTCAGTGATGTCACCACAGAGGTTTTGGCTTTTATAGCTGGTGATAACCAACAGCTGTGACATCATTGACTGTGTGTCAGCCAGATGTGCAGCGACAGTTTTCGCTCATGGTGATTCACTCTTGAGCCCCCTCAAAGCATTAATGACCTTACTGCTTAAAGGTCAAAGTTCATTTGTTTCTCTGTAAAACTATTTAAAACAATGAATTATGTGTTCATTTGATGTTGTTATGCCTTTGCAAAACTGTTCTTATCCTCAATGAAAAGCTCTTTTTAGTTTTATTTTTTAGATGCTTTTTGTAACTGAGCTGTAGTAGTATTATTGGTGTTAGTCATTTTAGTAGCTATTAAATATAGCTCTGACTGGGTTGATGTGATAAGTTGCCTGTGTTTAATTGTACAACATCATCTGACATATTGCCGGTCAGATTTTGCTGACATTTTAAAGGAAACATTTTAGCACTGGACAGACAGTTTAACACAAACATAAGTTGGCCTGAAGGGGGGGGCTAGAGTTCAGAAACGTTCAGAATTAATTAACTTGAGCTGTGTGTGTCTGCAGTTGGAGATTGAGAAGCTAAAGGCGGAGAATGACCGTCTGAAGGTGGAGAATCAGGGCAGCAGGATGGGCTCCCAGGCCTCCATCTCCTCCTCCCCTCCCCCTCACGCACACAGCCAGGCCCAGGGAACTGGGCCAGCACTCTCCCAGCACAGCCTCAACCTCACCACCAGCGAGTCCACCAGTCTGGGTAAGACAGAGCTGATGCCATGCGACCTACACAGTTCCTGGTAGATCTGTATGAGCTACTGAATGTGCTTGGACCCCATGTCATGGACAACATACAGTATAAAAGCATTATCTTTTTTTACTTAAATGTTCTTTATAGATGGGTCGGCTGTTAGGGGCGGGATTAGATATTCGGTCACTAGCACAAATTTCAGTCTCAAGACTGTTTGAGATACGTTTCTGAGCAGGGAACCATTTCCTCCAATGAACAGATCATTCATGTGTCAGACAGTGAATTTACATTCACTTGAACCTTATCTGACCTTGCTCTGCCTTCCTGTCAGACATGCTGCTAGACGACACTGGCGGAGAGGGAGGGATGAGGAAGGAAGGGCGACATGTGAAGATGGTCGTCAGCCTGGACACGGACAGCAAGTGGGGAGAGGTGAGAAGTGTTAGAAAATACAATTAAAGCTATTTTGTGTTGGTTAAGAATGATACTGTACCTGAAGGCTTATCGGTATCTAAAACCAGTCGTGATTTTGCATCGCAGGAGGGCCGACCTCGTCATTTTCTGATCGGCTGCATCGGTGTGAGTGGGAAAACGAAGTGGGATGTCCTGGACGGAGTGGTCCGACGCCTTTTTAAGGTAAACATTAACAAGATGATGTCAGAAACACTTCAGCATCAGTGTAAAGACAGTTAAAAGTTTGAGTTTTAGGTCTTTGAATACAAAAAGGATCTTGAAAATGTTTGAGTCTTGGTACTCAGGCTTTCTGCTTTAACACAAAATGCACAGAATTAAAAAGATAACTATTATCACTATCACATACTGCTGTCCTTTTCAAAACCTGTTAAAACCAGAGATAGCTTCATAGCAGACATCCTCTTTAAAAACTTTACAAAAACACCCTTTAAATGCTGAACTTTATGTCTGGCAGGAGTACATTACCCACGTGGACCCGGTGAGCCAGCTGGGGCTGAGCTCAGACAGCGTGGAGGGATACAATATCGGCGAAATCCACCGGCCCAGCACTCCCAGTGCAGCCCACACACCCGAGCTGCTGCCCTGCGGCTACCTGGTGGGAGACAGCAACACTATCAACATCCAGCTCAAAGGTACCAGCATGTCATAAAGCTAACTCTGCAAATGATCATTCTGTTCTGCCAGTCTATAGTAAGCAATGGCATCTTTCTTTTACACAGAAAAACCCAGTTTAAAACAAATTTTAATCAAGCTTATACACCATGTTAGTCTATTACTCTTATTTCTCTAAATAACTGGACCAACATAGAAGCTGCTACACTGGAAAAACTAGAAAACCGCATGGTAAACAGGCTTGGCACTACAAAAAAACTGACTACTTGTAAACATGAGTAAAAGGGTAAATATAAATGTAAAATATTTCCTAAATATCCCGATCTGTGTCCAGGTGTGAGCAGTGAGAACGTGGACTCGCTGGTGTTTGACACTCTGATCCCGAAGCCCATGCTGCAGCGCTACGTCTCCCTGCTGAAGGAGCACAGACGCGTCATCCTGTCGGGCCCCAGCGGCACAGGAAAGACCTACCTGGCCAATCAGCTGTCTCACCACCTGCTGCTGCTAGAGGGCAGACCGCTGACCCCGAATGCTGTTGTCACGTTCAATGTGGACCACAAGTCCAGCAAGGTAAAATTCACATGTACATTCTGCATTCGAAGTTTAAGTTGTTGGCTGCTGGCAGTTTCTTTGATTAAAATGAGAGAAATCTTCAGAGGAATGTGCGGCACCATTTGTACATTTTTAAAAATGTGTTATTACAAATAAATACACAAATGTATAATCAAAAATGGCATTTTAGCATTAGTACTTTATGGCAATATGAGGGAAACTGGTGGTTAATTTAACATATGAGGACAACTAAATCACACTAGCAAAGACCCTGACCTTGAGTCGTCAAGGTTGTGTGTAGATAAAACCAGTGCTCAAAGAACATAAAACAAGTATGACTGGTTACATGATTTCACATGCTTTCTGTCTCTTTGTAGGAGTTGCGTCAGTACCTGTCAGGTTTGGCCGAGCAGTGCAGCGGTGTCCCGGGGGCAGACAGCCCTCTGGTGGTCATTCTGGACAACCTGCACCACGTCAGCTCCCTGGGAGACATCTTCAATGGCGTCTTCAACTGCAACTACCAGCACTGGTCAGTTCACACAAAAACACATACAATCATGCTTTAATACAAAGGGGACATATTATGTTTCCTTTTTTTCTGTCATAATGTTACAATGTCAAATGTTCATATTAAACAAGTTTCAAATAATGAAGCATGTAAACATGTTTGAGTAGAAACCTAGAATGCAAGTATGAACCTGAATATGAGGAAGATAGGTCCTCATCAATGGTTGAATGAATTTAGATACATGACCACTGCATTATGACTGAGTAAGGACTGAAATGTGCAGGTGTGTTAAAAGAATGAATATTTCTACAGCATGTCAGTAAACCAAAAAAAAACTTGCTTCACTTGACTTGGTACAAGTCGGCTTAATGGACTGATGTAACCTGATGAGAAAGAATAACAACATGTGTTTTTCTTTCCTTTCAGCCCCTACATCATCGGCACCATGAGCCAAGCTACGTCATCTGCCCCCAACCTGCAGCTTCACCACAACTTCAGGTAAACTGCTGCTGATATCCTCCACCCACTCTGGCATCTGGACATATTGAAAGATTTACATGGTCTTAAAATCAATATAAATCTAGGGCAAACTGTTACCATGTTGTATGATGCTGTAAAGTCCTGTTACACCTGTGTGTTCTCTGACCAGGTGGGTGCTGTGTGCCAACCACATGGAGCCAGTGAAAGGCTTCCTTGGTCGTTACCTGAGGAGGAAGCTGATAGAGACGGAGATCGGCAGCCGAACGCGCAACATGGAGCTGGTGAAGATTATTGACTGGATCCCACGGGTTTGGCACCACCTCAACCGCTTCCTGGAGACACACAGCTCCTCTGATGTCACCATCGGTAAGAGACTGACTCATGATTTAGGAAAGATCCTTGAATAAATGTCAGTGTCTTACCTCTCTGCTCTGTGGCATGCAGGACCTCGTCTCTTCTTGTCCTGTCCCATGGACGTGGAGGGATCCAGGGTTTGGTTCACTGACCTCTGGAACTACTCCATCATCCCCTACATGCTGGAGGCCATACGAGAGGGACTGCAGGTAACACACACACAGATTGTCATTGTGAATATCTCAAAAACTTTCTATTTGCAGGAAATGGTGGTGATTTCTGATACCAGGTCTGGGATCCTGATTATATTTTCAGCCATAACAATAAAACTAATTAATAGAGACTTGATTTGATTTAACATCCTGAGGGGCTGTTAAGAGGATCCAGCTGAAGGAAGTTGCAGTGTAATGAGTGTGAGAATGATATAACTGTTCAGACCTGCCCTCTCAGAGGACCAGGGTTATGTTCATCAAAGTGAAATGGATTCAATTTGTCCTCTTAATCTGTGTGTAATTAGCATCTGATTCAATTAGACAGCAGCTAATCACCAGAATGCAACCTCTGAGTGTGAGTGAACGGGAGCTTGAAGGCAGAGTTCACTACAGGAATTTGTCTAATCAGCTTAGAAGAGAAACTGTGCATGATGAAATGGACACTTTTTTCCTTCTTCTTCTTTTTTAAACTTAGGCTGCAGTTCATCTCCACATGAAATACTTCACTTGGCATCTGTTACTTTAAAATAGTAAAATAATAATTGTTAAAACAAATGAATCATAGGACAAACTAATCTCTTAAGAAATTAAACAGCTAGACTCAGGCAAAAACAACAACAGAATCCATTGCAATATATCAGTTGTATCAAACAATATCAAAGGACTAAAGTCAGCTTTGTAGGTGTTAAATTTAAACTTCTATAATAATCAGATAATGGTCCATTTGTTATTATTGCTGTGATTTTTAACTCAGAGGTTGTTGCATTTCTTTGAATGAATACTTCACCCGCAAATTGACCATTTGTATGTTCTGTTCAATTCAATAGAACTTTATTTATCCTGAAGGAAATTGTTGTGCCAGAGAATGCTTCAAATTACAGTAACACTAACTACAATAACCACAATTTAACGTTCACTACCAGTAACAACCAGTGGGTTCCCCGGGTCAGGGTCACTCACTGGGCCCAGTTTTAGAACAATAGAGTGTTAAATATCTGGAAAAATATGGAGCAAAAGCCATTTCCTTAGAGTATGATAAGTATAAGAGTTACTACAATGGTGGAAAAAACAGACTGCTCCTGAATCAATGGTATATTGAATTTGATACAACAATGAGAGGTAGTATTGCACATGACTGAGAAAAATGATATTGCACTATGAGTTCCTTAGCACGTTACCTTGAATTTGTGAAGAGAAGGCAAACATTCTTCATGAATTAAACGGATATGTTTTACAACAGCAAAACATCAGTTTAGAAACTGACAACTCCTGCAGTATAATCCAAGTCTCATTTATCTAGTTGTGTGCTCAGAACTTCCCAAACACATGAACTTTTGCTAAAATGTTACAGTTGAAAACACATCAGTACAAACTGTCTCATGCATGGTTGAGTAGCGTTCCTGGGCATGCTAATGGGCACACTGCTCTTGGAGGGAGTGGGTTATGTTGTAAATTTTTAGCGAAAATGCCTTGTGTTTGGAAAGTACTGAGCATACGACTGAATAAATGAGACATGAATTATATTGCACAAGTTGTGTGAGAGTTGGTAAAACAGTTTTGCTGTCATTAAACGCTGTCCCCAATGACTTAAGCTCATGAAGAATGTTTGCCTTTTTGGATTCTCCATTTAGCATGGACTCATGCAAGAAAATCTACATTTTCTTCACAAATTTAAGGTAACGTGGAGAGCAACTGATATACAAATGGTCATTTTGTGGGTGAAGTATTCTTGTAAATAATTTGAAGCAGCTTTCACGAATGCCTGCTGTCACTGAGATTTATATATAATTTGCTCTTCCCTAGAGCAACTCTGCTTTAACACCTGACGTAGCTTTTGCTTTTTTAGAGGCAGAACTTTCCACAGAAAACAGGCCTTCAATAAATACTGACAAACTGCAACTTCAAGCCATTATGCCACTTGTCTTCAAGTCCAAAACACTAAATCTGCCTCAGAGCTTCTTCACGCATATTTCATTATTACATTCTGTGTCCCTCTGTAGCTGTACGGCCGCAGGGCTGCGTGGGAGGACCCTGCTGCCTGGGTTATTGACACTTACCCATGGTCAGCCACGCCCACTCCAGCTGAATGGCCCCCTCTGCTGCAGCTCCGCCCAGAGGATGTGGGGTTTGACGGCTACTCTGCCCCGAGAGAAGGAGTCAGGAAAGAGCCACCACAGAGCGACAGTGACGCGGACCCGCTGGTGAGAGGAAATACACATGAAGAAGTACAGACTCTTAGATTAGCTTAGACAGGGTAGTCATGCACACACATAGCTTCCTAGCTTGTTGCAGAGCATGAAAGCTCATAAATAGTGTTAGGGAACAGATGCTTCTTTTATCTATGAGTTGTAAAGATTAATGAGACTGACACTTGTTTCTGCCAACAGATGAACATGCTGATGCGTCTAAAGGAGGCAGCGACATCGTCAAGCCCACAGAGCTACGATAGCGACTCCAACAGCAACAGCCATCAAGACGACATCCTAGACTCATCACTAGAGTCGACTTTGTGATGCCGACACTGGGATCAGTTTTCAGGAGGGACTTTTTATATGAACTGTTCTCAGCTGGAGAACTTCTTGTTAGAGTATAATTTCATGCCACAAAATCCAGCCACCTTAATTTGGGTGCAGGTAACCCAAATATTTAAAAAAGAGAAAAAAGGTTCAAACTGCATTTCAGAAAACGGGCAACAAAAGTTTCTACTGCACTGCGCTGTTTTTTTTTGTTTTGTTTTGTTTTTCACCACTGTGGCCCGTGGCTCCTCTGTCAGGAGCCTGACATCTACTTCAGACAGACAGATAATAAAAGCACACAGCCTGTCTCTTGTGGTGAGGCGTTGTCATTACCATCACCAGCCATCAGCATCTTAAACACCAGCCTGGAGTCCTCCATCCTCAACTGAGCCACAGCATCAGCTCCAGCTCATCAGGCTGAGATACTCCTGGGCCTGTCCGGCTGCAGTGCATCTGAGTGGCCTGCAGATGGCAATACAGACCCTTGTCTCTGGAACATCAGGGAGCCTGAGCTACCAGCTGCTGAGAACACCGATGAGACACTGCTGGTTGAACGGACGAACAGCCGGCAGTTATCCGCTCTTCCTCCGACTCTGTGGCTGAAGTTTACTGTGTGAGGGTAAATCGAGCCAAAGTGAATGTTCGCCTCAAAGCATGTCTGCTCACACTTTAGACATTGTTTGATTTTGTTCAAACCCCAACTAAACGAAATCAGATTTTTAAGTTGGGGAAAGAAATAGCATTGTACTAACAATGGAGGAAATGTGTGTCAACAGAAAGCAATCAAGAGAGCAGGAAACAGTTCCTATCAGATACAGCTGAATGTTTTTGATTTTAATGTCTGCATTCAAAGCTCTCAGTGGACAAAATGGAGGAGAACTGATGTGTTTATACATGTAAATCCATAATATATGTGTGGTAACAAGGACGCAGGCAAACACCGACTATGTTTACATACACACTAATAGTCCACTACTATTCTGAATATGATAGGGGTCAGGTAAACAGACAAATTTTGGATAAGCTGCAATGGGCCATTTTCTGAATTAGGCATTTTCTGATTAAGACGTGGGATATGCTGATATTATTTAGGCTTCAGGAGCATTCTTTGACATGTATCTAGCTTATTGTCAGCTCTGTGCGTTGTCACAGACTAGTTCTACACAAACCAACCAGCCAGCTCTTTGCAAGGCTGATACAGAGATACATGCCCAAAAGAAATGCCCACATTTGTGTTTGGAAGAAGACACAGACCTACTTTTAAACATTATGAAAGAAAAGAATGAAAACGGGAGGCTGTGTTCACTCAATCCCACAAACTATTTTGATGCCAGAAGCAAAATGACAAGCGGCTCCAGCCGTTCCATTTTTCCATATTTTGGCGATTATAACGACATGTTGAGGCATGGAATATGCTTGTGAACAGCTTAATAGAAATACTGTCTTTCTCTGAGAAAAGGCAAAACCTGAAATACTTTGTGCATGTAACCGTAGCCATTGTAGCAGCACTGCTTCACCACCAGATCAAAGTCTGTGGAAAAAAATCTCAAGCCAATTTAACCAAAAAATTCTCACCTTAAATCCTGCTGACATCTTTTTTCTTTTGAAGTTGACAAAGGGTCCTCGGTGGACACATCCCGCCTCAAAGCTGAGAAACTTTTCTTCCACCAGAAAGTAGTTCCTTTGAAATGAAGCAGAATAACATATTATGCGCATTTGTTATTTGGCCAAACACACAACTGTAAACACCAACATTTATAGCTAATTTTACAAAGCAAGTCAAGGACAAAATCTAACTTACAAAGTCCTTTTAAGAGTCTTAGTTCTCATAAAAACAAACACTGTCAGGAGGAAAGGGTGCAAACTGGGAATTGAACATTCACCATGGCTCGATTTATCCGTTTAAAGTGTTTGAGATATTGTCCTTTTCCATCTGTGTTGTAACTTTCCGCATCGACTCACTCAATAATCCTTTGAGATCTCCATGCACCTTGGCCCAAACAGGCTGTTGTAGCACAACTCTCTTTTGGTGCTGGACTGAATTCTAACAAACAATGCCTTACTCTTTTTCTAAACAGACTATGTGCATTAGCCGATTCTTTATTTGTCTAAATGGCTGTAAACCTAACCTAGGGCTCCGAGTCGACACTCTCCTCGAGGAGCGGCGTCGACCTCTCATCATATCAAACACCAATGCCGTGGGATTGGGACATGAATGAGAAGCAGTACTTTGGGTTTTAAAATTTAAGTTGTATGCATGTATGACCCAGTGCTGTGAAGCTGGTGTAAATATTTGGACCACTAGCAAGAAATAAATAAATATATAGATGTTTTTTGGTGCTCGAAATTTTGCAGGTTGATTGGGTGAGGGAAGTTTAAGATGTGCTGATTTTATACCTCATCCCCATCCTTTAAATGTCCACGCTCATAGTCTGTTTGATGTGACTCTGTGATGAACAAAAACTGTCCTAACAAACATGTTGAACTAATTAAGTGAAAACTAGTGTATATGCTGCTTTGTTTATAGTGATATAATTAATCTGAGGTTAAAAGTATAAAGGTACTTGTGGTTGAATGATAATGTTAAACGGTTTGACATCATTTCTGTGGCGTGAAATCTAAAGAATATTTGGGGGTCATGTCATCCAGCACAGCCTCCATCGCTTTCAGTGTTTTTGTCACCGATCCTATGCAACATTCATTCTGATCTCTAAATGGAAGCCAAAAGCTGAGCGTGCATTTTGTCCCCCTCCGTGCGTGGTGTCCAGCGCTGCCGAGACGCACAGCACGGAACCTGACTTGTGAGGACTTTAAAGATTTGTGGCCCATGTTCTTTGTCCGTATGTGTGTCTGTGTAGTTTATAGACACTCTCCTGCTATGGTCCTTGTAAGCACAAAGAGACTGAGAGGTGTGGATGTTGTCCAAGCATTTGTCTGTCAGTTTTATTACTCACAAACTCAATGAATGTTTAGCCTTCTTTGCTGTGTACATTTTTTATATGTAACATAACTTTGTAAATAGTTGATTATCTTGCAGCATTTTGATGACTTTTCTAGCCGATTTGTTACAGTACTTGAAAAGGAGTATTTTGTGTACAGTCTCTTTACATCAGAGCAGATTGATGCGGTTTGTCATCACTGGTCTGTCCAGGGCTCGGAGAATTAAATCTGATATCACTGTACTAGTCTTAAGTTATTGTGATTCAATAAAATTAATGATTATTTATGATTTAATGTTGGCAAATGGTTCCTTTAAAAAAACAACACAAACACTTGACTTGGAATTGTTTACAATTTTATTTGGTATTTGTACAAAATGTGTGAAATAAACATATATACAGCACATAATACAACATACTTATTAAACAAATTCATATAAATTATTAACGAAATAGCTACATTTTTCAATAAACAACTCTATTCAAGGTCAAGGTAAAAGTAACTCAATATTCTTGGCATAAAATTTCCATACAAAATTGTACAAAATACTGTACAATTGAACAAAGCTGTGCAAAACAGCAAATTGTGTCGAAGCAGATCCTGTAGAGTGCGCATGCGCTGATGAAGCAACAAACTTGAGTGAAACTTGTGTTTTTGAACATGTATGGGGTCCCCTTTAAGGCCGGCAGCTTCTTACGGATCGGGTCACAGTCTCATGAAAACAAAACGTGGGTTATATTCTCTATATTTGCGTTTTAAAATAAATTAAGATACTGTTATTTCTTCTTCGTCTGACTCTGAGAAGTCCGAGTGCTTGCTGGAAAGAGACGGAGAGGAGATGCTGGACCCCGCCCTCATTCTCTCTCTTCCGAACTCTTCCTCTTCATCTTCCTCCTCGGCTGAGGACTTCTTGCCGACGTCGCTGAGGTCCGGGTGCGGGTTGGCTTTGGTGGGCAGCGTCTGCTCGCGGCAGCCACCGGACGACAGCAGCTCTCGTTCCTTTGAGTTCCTCCACTTCATCCGCCTGTTCTGGAACCAGATTTTCACCTGTGGAGGTGGAGAAAATGGTGAGTGAATAAAACATCAGGTAATGGAATGCGCAACAGCGTCTTTACGCGCAAATTACGAACGACATACTGGAGGTTTTAAGCGCGTGTGAAGTTTTACCTGTGAGTCTTTTAGGCCCAACTTAGAGGCCAGCTTCTTCCTGTCGGGTTTGCTGATGTATTTCTGTTTCTGGAACATCTTTTCCAAGGCCTTGCGCTGCACATCGGAAAACACCGCCCTCCTCAGCATCCCTCTCCGGGGTTTCCCTCTGGCGGCCAGGGGCCAAGAGAAGGTCCCGGGAATGGGAACAACGGATGAAGATGCTACAATACAAACGCAGAGGAGGAATTGGAACCTGTTAGATTTGTTTTTGTTGCCATATCCACGTGTAAAAAAGTGTGTGCAGAGCAGAAATGATCCCTAACCAAGACCAAATAAATCTAAACTTAAACCCACTCAGGCCTCTATATGAACATAATGATTATTTCTCTCTAAGACTCTTCAACCGGTTATTATTGGAAGTTTTCTCCCTTTGGAACTGTGCAATACGTCTCCGTTTTGAGTGAAATGGCACGAGGTGACTAATTAGCACATTGGCCGGTCCCCAACCGCATTGGTATGGTAAAGAGGTAGCATATCCTTTAAGGAACCCTGTGAGGGCGGATAGAGGAGTTAATAAACCGTGAACGGTAATTGTGTAGTAATGAACTAACGCAGAAAAGACTCTGGACAGGCGGCGAAGGCCATATATTATCGCAACAAAAGGAGATTTACACTTTCAAACTAAACACAACTGCATACCAGAATACTGATGCCCGGAGGGGGGGAGTGAAGAGTGGAGGGGAATGGCGCTTTTTTCCCTTCTTCGTGCCTTCAAATCATTTTCATTAAATGAACACGAAAAGCTATTCAGGACGCTGGAGTTGTTTTGTTGAGGCATTCAGCTGAGCCCATGAAAAGACTCCATCTCCATTATGATTTGGCTGAATGAAAGCACGGACTAGCGACTTTATAGACTTTTCTAAGAGATTATTCTTTATCTCAACTCGCTGATTGGTCCGCTTGGAGAATAAACGTTTAGGGCACAGAGAGAGTGAGGACTGGAGGTCAGTGGTAACCTATCCTATGGGCCGTGCAGCATGCAGGGACAAGCCTTCCCCAGCTGGGACATTTTAGACGCAGTTGGGCTTTTAAAAACTCGCTTTACTTCAGCTCCCACCGCGACAGACACTTTCTCTGTCTGCATCCTGCTAACTGGACTTCCTCCTGACAGTAGCTGCCCTGTGGCCGCAGAAGAATCAGGAACAACGACGCGCTATGTGGTCTTGTGAGAATATTGAAAACTCTCAATAGCGCCTAATAGGGAAATTAGTGCATGACTGGTTCACGCCTTTGGCCCCCCTGGTAAAAGTCACTCTCCGGGGTGTGTGGGTGGTTCGCCCGGTGGGAGCTGACCAAATTGGTCACGGTGCTGAAGGCTTTGTTGCCCGCCACAGCGGCCCGGTGGCCCCCCGGGCGCTGTGGGAAAACGCGGGGCCAGGGAAATGCCAAAACGCCCCCAATGGGAAACAGGGGGGACGATAACTCGCCACCCCGCCTCAAATTTAGAGCGTGACGATTTGGGATAATTGGTTAATTAGGGGGTGGGTGGGTGGGTCCGGGCAGGGGCCAGAGCCAGCGCTCCCCATTAACGAGACAGTGATTTCTTCTTTTCTGGGTAAAAATATATGACAGGGTGCGACAGTGTTTTACATCTAAATGCAATTAGCTCAGACAGAATTCTAAAGGCTGAAGAGAGATGGATCCATGAAGGAGAAGTGCGTAAAAGCTGCACCTACCTGGTAAATAAGGCGTCCTGAATATGGGGTGAAAGGTCCCGTCAAAGCAGGGTATGGGGAAGGTCTTGGAGTGCAGGCTGTGGAGTGCAGGGGGTGAGGACGCTGTGGAAGAACATCACAAATGTTAAAATCATCACCATCATGAATGAGGAAAATAAATCTAAACAGATCAACTCAGAGTGAAGACAGAAACTGTCTACTCACCGGTCTTTGGTGAAGGGGCGAGGATGGCGCTCACTCCAAACTTGAGAAAAGTTGGGTCCTTGCTGCTGGACACAGACGTTTTCGGCGAGCATGATTCGCGCGTCACCGCCGTCGTGGCCACCGCGCGCTCCGCGGGCGCGCCGCCGAAGGACACGGTGGTAGTGGCTGTGGTCAGCGAAGCGCACGCCGACGGGACAGTCCGATTAACGAAGGCGGCGGGGCGGCTTATCCGCAGCAGGTCCTCCACTAGAAAGCTGGACTGAGTCGGGAAGGCGGACGGCAGCGTCTGGTGGAGCGGCAGAGCAGCGGCGGGCCGGTACAGCCCCGGGTAGAAGGCAGGAGGCGCGATGACGCTTGGGATCATCATGGTCCCGGTTTGAAAAAAAAGAGTCAGTGTGTGAAATCAGAGATACTCCGTGTGTCAGCTGGGAGAGAATTAGTCGTGTGAATGGCTGCTAACTCCTCTGGTTTCCTCACTCTGGGGAGAGGAGTTTTATAGCAGCCTGCCCCCCCGGCCCTCGGCTCAGGGCTGACAGCCGCAACAATGGGGCTCAACAAAGTTCTCCACATGGGTCGCTTTCATGCCGCATCCCCCGGGCCGCTGATTGGCCGAAGGACGCAATTTATGATTGCATTAGACTTCATAAGCAAGCAACATACAATGTCCCCACCACAAAAGAGGCTCAGTCATCAATTTTGCATGTTGACCACTTTCCTTTTAATTTGTTTTGTTTGGCAGAGGCAAGCGGCCTAATTAAAGAGCAATCTTTACAGATTCGGTCATTATATGGGGACTTTTAATGAGCACTTTATAAAGGATACTTTATCCTTGTCCATTCAGTGTGTCTTTCTGCTATGCAGGATATAAAATACACTCGTTAAAATGTAAAATTATTCTTTTATTCTATTACCAGTGTTGTAAAAATACACACCTACGTTTAGTAATAGGCTTTAAACCAAAGCTTTATAATACTATTAACAGAATAACTCAGTATATTTATTGTTAAATCTACATTAGTTGCAGACGCTGCGCAGCATCTCAAATGTAAATCAGTTTTAGGGTTTCATAGGATTCTCAACACTCAATCTGGCCCTCGTCATGGAATAATGTCTTAAACGGATTTCTGCTATCAAAACGCTTTAACAGATGTGTTAAATATCACTCTTTTGCACAGGCTTCATTCAGTGCGCAGAGCCGCAGCTCAGTGCGCAAAGGAGAAGTGTGCGGCCTGAGCCGTGCGCTCATGATCCTGTTAACCATGAACTAACTGTCACCCTCAGCTGCGGAGGAGGTGCCCCTCGGCCTTTCTCTCCTTCCCTCTCTCCGCTTCAAAAAAAGCCCAGAGGAATAAAAAAGCTTTATTTCTAAAGACGGTTTTGTTCTGCTATTTTAACCGGCTGAATAAAAGTGCATCTGTGATTTGATTTAAAACGCATTCATATGAGCGGACACTGAGACCCCATATAAAACTCTTATTAAAGCGACTTGGAGCCTGATAGTCGTGTTCTGTCAGCTTTGCCCCTGAAAACCCGTTAAAGCAAAGCAATCAGGCGAAAATGCATTGCAGACCAAAAGAGGGGAAAAAACGCCTAATTGTTGCCAGTTTGAAACCCAATTAAAATAAAAAATACAATTAAACAATTTGGAAAAGTTTGAAAAACCATTCAAGGAAAGAAAAAACAGAAGTGTTTATAATTTATTAGATTTTATTAAAATGTTTTTTAAATTGTTAATGGTTATTTCTTTTCATTTATGCCATTAATTTAATTTGCACCAATATATGTTTTAATTTTCCACTTAACGAAAAAACATCGACATATCTCTGCATTAAGGGTTTATGGTGCGTCTGTGAAATTAGGTTATATTAAGAACCAAAAATATAAATTATGATTGATTTTTTTATCATATGTTTGTTTTACTAGCTAATACTGCTTTGAAATATTCTTTTAACATCAGTCACTAAAAGAAGAAAGGCTCAGTGTTAATTAAAAGTGTGTGTAAACCAACTTTGACTTAATTTAAAGAGCACTTCACGGCACCTGTTCGTCCCCATTAGTCCGTCAGCTTTATTCTCTGACTGACATTTCTGTCTTAAGTAAAGCAGCCAGTCAGTTTGCATCATTTGGGATCAGCTCAAATAAGTGCTTCGACATCAATCTAATATAAACTGGCCACGATCCGATAATTAAAAGGGAACGCCTCCGTGAAATGAGCCTTTGCAGAGAGTCAACGCTTATCAGAGGTGCGTCTCCTTTATGAGCGGCGCAGGACGCACAAACAGGCGTTAACACCGCGCGCCGTCACCACCGCTACACCTCCGCTAAGTAACGAGACCTTCAAAGCTTTTTTATGAGCCCATATTCCTTTACTTGGCTGCCCGAAATCCTCCTTTTGTGAGCGGTAAGCAGATGGTTAGCAGGAAGCATAGGCTGCTCTGGCTGACCGAGACTAATTTCTACGAGCTTTGCAAGCTTGCCACGTCCCCGCTCTTTTACCAGGCCGAGTAAAAACAGCTGGCTGCGGCTGAATTAAGGCCATTAAAAGCACATCTCTGAAATATTACCACCGACAACACCCCCTCCCCCTTGTTAGAGCCCACTCAAGTCCCATCACTTTATCATAAATACCCTATTAGATTCGATTAACAATATTATATTATTTTTTTAAAAAAAACAGCATTATAAGATCATTTATATTTTCTAACCCATCATCACTAGGTCCAACACTATACAGGCTACCTTTAATAGGCTACAAAATATTAATGTGTCAGTAGTGCGCATTTGTGAGTTTATTTATTTATTATTGTCCCAGCATACCGGTATTAGGCCTAATAATTATATGCTGGTGGTATTTTAACCTTTGATATAGCTATAATATTTATAATGACCACACTAATTATGTTTATGATCACTTATGATGCTAATATCCCCACAGGGATTACCTACTGATGTTTATCACTTATATCCCTGCAGGGAGGATTACTCATCCACCACTTTGTATATAACATCCTTATAGTGATTACCAACAGACGCCTGGCACTTAAACTTTTAAAACTCCTATATTAATTTATGGTTTTCCACATACTGCAGCTATATTTTGTTCAATATACTGTATGAAATCTATCTGAATATTATCGGATTCAGGTACTTTTTCTCCGACAGTTGCCACTTTACTAAATAGATGAACTTAACCATTGTCTCGCGTCTCTTTCTGCTTCGTTAAGTGAAAGGGGCTGAGTAAATATGTTACCCATGCATGAGAAGCTCTCTATGGGCCGTCCCATTGTGCCGCGGGTCCGACAGGTGGTTAACTGTTTATTATTCCCTCATTATTTATCGGTGACGTGGACGCACCGAGGAGAGGGAACTCCCCATCTTTTCACTTAACCCGGGGGTGAACAGATTGTGCTGACTGGTTGCAGCCTCGTATATGACACCGGTCACCCATCCATCCATCTCAGCCCTGCAGCCCTTTCAGCAGGCATCCAACTCCATCAGGGTTTGGTAAATGAAACGATTTATTCCACTTAACACGTCCATGATGACAGATTAAACCGTTTTCTGTTACACTACATGTTTGCCAAATAAAGCTAGACAATGGTCATTTCATATATTTTTGGATATCATAAAAATTATGACTCAGTTTATGGATATCAGATAATATTTATCCATAAGTGCAGATAATAATGGGCAGAAAGACAAACATAGATTAACTTTAGACTCAGTACTTTATAGCCATATGTACTGGAAGTCTCTGAAATCATTCCAGGAATATAATAATATAATACATAGAAGTTTCTAAATAAAGTTGAATTTGAGTGCCACTGATTGTGTTAGGTTCTTTACTCAAGTACTGTTTTGAGGTACTTGTCCCTTACTTAAACATTTCCATTTTTATATTTTATATTTGATTGATTTTTATTTGAAATCTATACTCATTACATTGCAAATTCAGATTTTACATACAAAACAGGATGCATTGTTACCGATTAAATAGTACTCAGAAACACACCCTTTTATGCATAATAAATATTTTACTTTTGATACTTAATCTTGCTGCTTGCATGTCATTTTACTTGAAGTAAAGTTTTGTAGAACCTTTTGGAGTTGTGTTTGTAATGACACATTTTTCTATTGCTGTATTGCTTGCTGTATTTAGTGTTTTTTTAAAAAGAAACTTTTTATCATATGTTATTGAAACTGTTGCTATATCATGACAGCAGTACATGAGACAGATAATCTCGGAAAAAAAAAAAAAAAACATGCTCCTCTGACTCCTGGTAGTGCTCCTAATGGCCTTCATAGGAATCCACCGCACCTGAATGAAAACAACCAATCAGAGGAGTCTCTAACATGGCTGTCAATTACTACATTTGTTGCAGTGCCAACAACAGCATACATGGTAAAGACAAGTAAACAGTAGGAGACCAAGGCCAGAAAGCTTGCTTTAACTTTAACTTCCACAGAAGACGACCAATGTCTTCTTTGATTGGTTGTTGGCATTCAGGCCTGGTGGATTCTTGCAAATGCCATTAGGAGCACTATGAGGAGCCAGAGGAACATGTTTTTTTCAGAGATTATCTGTCTCATGCACTACTGTCGGGGTAGAGTGATAGTTTCAGTAAGTATGGCAAAAAGATAAGCTTATTAAAGTTACCTACAGAACCTTTACGTAACATTACAGCATGGTACACTAAGCTCGCAGAGATTGCCAACGTTGCAGGGAAGGTGATTGGCAAGTCACAGAAACAACTCAGCAATATATCTGACAAAGCTGTACACAGGAAGGCCAAACATAATTGCCAATACCTCACATCCATTACACTAAGTTTGAGCTGCTCCCATCTGTGTGTCTATTTAGGGTCGAAAGAGCCAGTCAGGACATATATAAGAAGTCCTTTATTCCCCATGCCATACAGGCAATGGACACAGAATGACTATCAGGAAACACAACTATTTCTATAAGATGTGCTCTCTTTTACTATCTATGTAACTTATTGCTCCTACCTGCCTTAATGTATTAATGCTGTATTGTGTGTCTCTTTGATTTTTGAGAGAAGCCAAAGACAAAAATCCCACTGAGGTGGACAATAAAGTTATCATCCATCCATCCATCCATCCAACAATTGAACAATGCTTCATTACAAGTAGAGGTCCTATACTCCAATAGGTTCTACAACATTTTATTCAAGTAAAATGAGTCAGAGGAATATGATATTTTCAGATTATCAGTCTAATGTACTACTTTTAGGATACAGCTACAGTTTCAGCAAGTATGACAAACATTATTGTTTATAAAAGTTAACTGCTGTAGCTTTAAGTTTCTGAATACTTCTGCCACCACTGCACATTATTTGCCAGACTGTTTCAGACTTGAGTCCATCGTGCCTTAAAATGTCACAGTTCGTCTAGTGAATCCTTGCTCCTGCCATGTGAAGTTAACCAAACATCTATTTCAGCTGAT